CACACTACACATCCTTTATATGCATTGTGTAAAAGTCCTTGAGCATTGGACAGTGGTCATCTACATTGTCAGTCTTTAGCAAGTGGTGTAAAATTCCACATTGCTATGGCAGGGGGCAGTCTTGATCATTTTAATCTGGCGCGGAAGCACTGTAGTTCGAGTAATCGATGGACAATCGGAAGGATAAGAGTTTAAATCCTGGTACGTGGCCCAATCAGCCCATTGCAAAATGCGTACCACTTTGTGGCAAGTCAGCAGTGATAATTTTTTAAGAGACTGGGCCCCACCATGTGAATGTGTAATCTCCACCGGTGGCTAGGGACTGCCAGAGGAGGAGTGTGGCTCAATCGCTCTAATGAGCAGGAAGACCATTTGACCAGACTTAAAATAGCTGACGAGTTAATGCTTTGCAGATATTAGATTGCCAACATCAGCTGTAAAAATTCACAATTCAAGAACCCAATTGGATCCAAGAATATATTGTTTTACCATGTGGTCATTGTAGCGGCCCCTAGTGGCTGGCCACATTCATCTAAATCCAACACTTGCTTGGGGTGCGCTGATGATTTTGGTACCACGTGGCATTGGGTGACATCACTATTGTTAACACAAGGACATTTTGCATAAAGACATAATGATCCAAAAAAGATACTAAATTGTCATGACAAATCCAAAAAAACGTAATTCTTAAATCTAAAACTTATATCTATTGCATGCAATATATACAAATCGAAGCACGTGGACTCTTGCACATGTGATTCGACCCATGAATCGTGAAGCTTAGGGAATTTATATTAATCTATGAAGTGACGATTAGATAAAATGACGCATCGTCACATCCCGAGAACTAAGCAAACTGATATTTAATCAGCGGCTTCCGCCGCATCACACAATTTGGGGGCTTGAGGCATTCAAAGTGTAGTGTCACCTTCGCTCACATTAAATCAATCGCAGGGCAGCTCCACTGACAGTTTAAGGGATGCGATGCTTTCCACTTAACGTCTGTTACATCTTCTAAATTGTTAATCGCTGGCGGGTATGACGGGTTCATCACATGACCCAGTGAAAGGTCATTCCGCCCTCTTCTCACAAACAGCGCTTGTACAATCATCAAACTCGTCAAGTTTAACATGCAACGATTGGCTAATTGGTTTGTCGACTGAAGCAATGAATGTCCATTTTGAACCCCATATTGTAAGGGGAGGATCCTTGCCGAAAAGATAGGCAGTTCACCAGCAGTGATTGAAGCAAGTTTGACTGAACCGATGAGACACTGTCAAAACCTGTCCAGAGGTTGCTTGTATTGAAACAACGCTGCTGAAATGGACTCCCAGAAGACCGTGCGGATGATGGCTTGTGTAAGAAACACTTACATTTTTTCATGTGGACAGACGGGTATGTGAAGGAAACATGTTTTCTGCTTACTTATTTTGTTATTTTAGAGAAAGCAGGTTAAAGGACGATTTGACCCTTAAACCAAGGGCTCTTACGTTGCAACAACATTCCTCAGGTGTCAGTTCTGGACCGCCCCACACAGGTTTGAAGAATATGCACCATTGTTCATTCTCTGTAAATTGCCTTGATCAAGACGCCTTGGTCAAAGAGCCATAGAAATTACGATAAGGATTAAATTACTTTCAAGCGTGACATGATTTCCGTAAGTTTTAGAAAAGATGCAGTGACATCATGACAGTGATATGATCGCATCTGTGTTTTATCTATTAAAATATATTTAAACACTCTCACATGCAGTGTTTATCATGTGTATAAGAATATATTCACATTTTTGAATAAATAAATCGTTACATTCCTAATATACATGTATTACTAATATACAGCCAAATACACATGCATGCGCACACACATCATATACGTATTTACCTATTTTATATAACTAACAAAATAATATACAGTACATCCTATTGTCATTCCATTGCTAGATGAAGGCCTTCCCATCCCGTGTAGGTAAAGGGATATTGTTTGACCATACTTCACCATGCAGGTCAGTGTGGGTTGGTGAAGGGAGGGGGAGGAAGTAAGACCAGGACCGTGTCAGACATCACGTGCCACCGATGTTCGCCGTGGCCAGGAACTGAACCCGGATCGTCGGGTTGACAGCGCACTGCGTAAGCCACTAGCAGAGCTCCCCATAAACTGTTCTGTACTCCGACGCAAATGATGAACACAGTAATTAACACACTGCACTGTAATTATAACACGATCTTTGAGGCTACACTTGCACATTCTCAAGGGTCTTATTCTCTCTCCCGTCCTTCCCAGGCAAACACAGCTAACCAATTAATTGAGACGCAATTGCAAAAAACTGGAGACGATTACCAATTTTTTTTCCCGCAGCTCACCATTCTCCTTGTGCCTCACAAAGGACAAGAAACTCGTGGGTTCCGATTGTTTGTAAAGCGAGTGCCATTTGTTAGTTATGCTAAAGTCATTTTCACTTCTGCTTCTCATATCCTACCTATGACCTAATCACCCAGAATGTGCCTAACCTCATCAGATGTCAGAAACTCAGCAGATTTAGAGCCTGGATAGGTTTGCATGGGTCACCACCATCTATAAAAACGGCCTGTTATAAATCGGCTTCTGCAGGGCTACATTGCGGGCAGTGTGGCAAAACGCATTGTTGAACTGTACTGTACTTAGGTGGTTCCATGTCTATGCTCCCAGTCTTCACCAATCCGCAGTGACCAGCTTGAAGTACGGTAAAAAACCCTCATGACCGGCAAGGCGTGGGGAGACCCTTATACATCAGTTGCTTTATAATATCGTGATAATATTCATGTTTTTCACTTCTGCAAGGGTAGATATGATAAAGGCAGGGCCGTACATCCTCATCCTGAAAATCGTCCTTATCCTTCATCTCTATCTCGTTACAACGCCTTCATCTATCAAATTCCATATGCATCATTGGGTCTCATCCTGTAAGTTAGTTCGAGTTATACATATCCTAATAATGACTCATCACCCACCTCCTCAAAAGCCTTCCACTGTTCATCGCGTGCCCTTCACATTTTTATCCCTATTATGATCGTCACTCCAAGCTATGACCAAACCACCAATCAGCACTGCCATCATCATCAGAAGCAGCATCACCAGCAGCAAACACCGTCAACTAAACCGTCAACACAATTACATAATTAACATCCCAAACTGAATACCCATGAACAACACTATTACTACTATCCATTTAACCATTCATAAAATCATAACCCAACAATATAAGCGGCAGCATCAGAATCATCATTGGCATCTGCATCTTCAGAATCAGCAGCATCATCAGCAGCAGTAAAATCAACCTCATCAACATCAGAACCATCATCAGTATTTTCATAAAGATATAATTTGGTGATACTGCGTTGGCAGTGGTGCAAAAGCACAAATAACAACACAAATATCAACACATTTGTCAATAAGTATACAATCGGCGACATTTCGGGAAATGCCCATTCTATGAAGGCTTTGCTATTTACAGGACCATCGCACGAAACGTCGTATATTATATATAGCCCCTTTTAAGGTGTTATTGGTGAATGTGTTGAGCATTCTGTTGTTAATTGCCAACGCTGCATCACCATCATCACCAACATCAAGACTACCCTTAAACGCCGCTCCCCGATCTAAAACAGGGTGGGCACAGTGTGATTAGAGGACACTAATCAGAACGCAGGGCCACCATCAACACCACCAGATGCTAAATGGCCCAAGCCCAGGGCCCAGTACAGTGGCGTTCTTACGCACGTAGCTACACGAGCCTCCTCCCTCCCCCCACCTCTCCCATTCATTCGCCACAGCCCTTCCCCGTTCCTGGCTCTCGAGATAACGACGATTTGCTATTCCCGGCGAAGCGATGTATTGTTCACGAGGGTGGCGGGGGGGGGCTTTGGTTAAGATTCGATTAAATAATCGGATTGCATTGTCGTCTTGTTGGTTTCGGCCTCGTGCGCGTTTCGTTATTGAACCACTTACCCCGAATGCGCAATTGATCACAGCTGCGTATCATTTGCATCGAGCGTAAAGACGAACATTTATTACAACCACGTATATCGGTGGTGCTATAATAGATACAGTTTAATCGATTAACCTGCGCGCCGTTAATTTACATCATTGCTATTCAACGTTGCTACCGTGGTCTGCGACCATCGCCGTGAGCAGCGATGGTCGTCTTGGTGATGGTGATGATGGTGAAGACGATGATGGATTCTTTTTTTATAATAAATCCCCGAATGTTGCAAATTGGCACAATGCAGAACCGTCATCGGCATCATTAACAAGCGGCATTCGCGATGACTTCTGTGGTGACGTTACGTCAGCATTGGTTGCCCGATGATGAGCATCACCACCACCACCATCATCATCCCATCAACATCTCTTGATCATTATCCTCACACACACGACGTCACTACCACACCAGCATTATCATTGAACATCGTCGTGATCACAGACGACACTCCCTTCATTACCAACCATTATCATTAACACCATCGCCAAAATCGAAACCAGCGTCAATCATTACCATCACCGGCTTCACCAACATATCACCGCTAGCGTTACGGTTCTACTACCATCAACGCCCAAAATTCGTCGTTTTACCGTTCAATGTCATCGCCAATTTCCCTACCCCCCCCCACCCCCGCGAATACAAACGTTAACATTAGCGTCACCATCAACGCCACCACCATCACTTATCATCCAAGCATTACCGCAGACACCGCCATCACCATCCGGCCCCCATCACGTCCACAAACCTTGAGTCGCCGCCACCGTTATCACCAAACCCCTGGACGACGATGACCTCATTTAAAACATAAAACCACAACCCCGACGACAGCTCCTCTCACCACAACCGGCATCGTGTCTAGACACCACCATCACCACCACCACCAAACCCATCGCAGTAGAGTACCGCAAAGACCCCCTTCGCAACCACCACCACCACCCATAAACACGTCCACCATTGATTCCAGAGCAGACGCCCGACTCACCGCCACCAGCACCACCACCACCAACCACGCCGAGCTGCGCCTTCGGTCTCTCCCCAACCCCCTCCTTCCTTCGTGAATGATCTCGCTGCGTTTTCGGTGTTCGCGTGCGTGCGGTCCCTCCGACCCTTCCGCGGTTTAATCGCTGCGACGTGCGAGAAAGAGCCAGGGGAGGATGGTGGTGCGTTGGTGGTGCGGCGGCGGCGATGGGCGACGCGATACCTGCAGTGGCAGTGGCGGCGGCCGGGAGGAGGAGGAGGGGGAGGAGGAGGGGACAGCGGTGACGTCACCACAGGAAGGATTCTTGGGGTTCTATAACCCATTGGGATTCTTGGGGTTCTACAGAGGATTGGGATTCTTGGGGTTCTATAACCCACTGGAATTTTTGGGGTTCTAGAACCCATCGAGATTCTTGGGGTTCTAGAACCCATCGGGATTCTTGGGGTTCTAGAACCCATTGGGATTATTGGGTTTCTACAGAGTATTGGGATTCTTGGGTTTCTACAGAGTATTGGGATTCTTGGGGTTCTACAGAGGATTGGGATTCTTGGGGTTCTAGAACCCATTGGGATTCTTGGGTTTCTACAGAGGATTGGAATTCTTGGGTTTCTACAGAGGATTGGGATTCTTGGGGTTCTATAACCCATTGGGATTCTTGGGTTTCTACAGAGGATTGGGATTCCTGGGGTTCTAGAACCCATTGGGATTCTTGGGTTTCTACAGAGGATTGGGATTCTTGGGGTTCTAGAACCCATTGAGATTCTTGGGGTTCTACAGAGGATTGGGATTCTTGGGTTTCTACAGAGGATTGGGATTCTTGGGGTTCTACAGAGGATTGGGATTCTTGGGGTTCTACAGCCAATGGTATTCTTGAATTTCTAGTGCCGATATGATGCTTTGGTTTCCAGTTTCAATGGGATTCTTAGGTATCTAAAGCCGATGAAGTTATTTGGGTTCTAGAAATCCAATGGCATTATTGGGTTTCTAGAGGCGATTTGAGTCTTTGGTTTCTAGATCCAATGAGATTATTGGGGGTCTAAATCCAATTGCATTCTTAGGTTCGTAGAGCCGGAATATTTGTGGTTCTGGAGCCAATTACATTATTGAGTTTCTCGAGCGGTAAATCTAGGGTTTTTAGAGCCAACGCGATGCTTGTGGTTCTAAATCCAATGGCATTACAGTATCGGGTTCTTAGAGCCGGACATTATTTGGATTCTAGAGTGAATGGGATTATTAGAGTTCGAGGGCCAATGACATTCTTATGTTCCTAGAGCCGGAATCTTTGGGAATCTAGAGCCAATGCGATTCTTGGGGTTCTAAAGCCAGTAGTATTATTGAGATTTTAGAACCAGTTGGGTTCTTTTGGGATTCTAGAGCCAATGCGATTATTGGGGTTCTAAAGCCAGTAGTATTCTTGGGATTTTAGAGCCAGTTGGGTTCTTTTGGGATTCTAGAGCCAATGCGATTCTTGGGGTTCTAAAGCCAGTAGTATTCTTGGGATTTTAGAGCCAGTTGGGTTCTTTTGGGATTCTAGAGCCAATGCGATTCTTGGGGTTCTAAAGCCAGTAGTATTCTTGGGATTTTAGAGCCAGTTGGGTTCTTTTGGGATTCTAGAGCCAATGCGATTCTTGGGGTTCTAAAGCCAGTAGTATTCTTGGGATTTTAGAACCAGTTGGGTCCTTTTGGGGTCCTAGAGCCAATGCTATTCTTGGGATTCTCGAGCCAATGGGATTCTTGGGTTTACATTGATGAGTTTCAAAAGTTTACTGCGAAAGGTTGTGTGGGTATCTCATGATAGTTGCTTAAACAAATGCTGATGAAAAACGCCACAAAGCCCTTAAGCTAATGGACTGAAATAACATTAAATAGTTTCAGAGTGAAACACATTCTTGTCTATCATACTCTAATGCCTTTTATTAACCCATGGAATTTTCAATGGGATCCTGCATCGGGTTGGAGCGTTAACATGGTTCAGCGCTAGCATGTTGGCCGCTTCTTGCAGAGAGGTTTGCGGTTTGAATCTGTCCGTTCCGGTTAATATTGTACTGCAGGTGTATTTCACCACACAATATGCACCGTCTGATTTACAACAGACCTCGAATATCCCGTGACATTAAAAAAAAGAGACCGTTGTGTGTTGGTGTCGTATTCCAAATATTCCAAATATGAAAAATGAACTGCAATTTAACTCAACTGGGATTGCATAAAGCAACATCACCCCCGCTTGTGAAACTACTACAGACTATGTGAGACATAGTGCCTCCGTGATCGCCTTTCACTATAAGAAAGTGTGAATTCCATATGTACTCAATTTATATTAAGTTGCACGATTACACGGGGGGAAACCCTTGCATACAAGGGATTCACACTCAAATGTCTGCACCGACAGGTTAAAGCAAATCTATTTCTGTAGTTATCTCTTGGTTATCCCGCAAGCCAAGTCTACAATACTTGGTATTCCCATGCAGTCTCCCCCTTGCAAGTGCGAACACAACACTTCCAAGTGCCAACACAATATCCCCACCCAAATTTGATTAAATGCATATCACGTTTTGCGTCGTCAACAGCGACGGATGGATAGATCGGTCTCTGTCATGGGAATATGGAATTTTCACCGTTGGCTCATGAAATGAATGCCACCTCACCCCAATGCCGGTTTGAACAGGAACACCATTGACATTTTACACCACTAGGGCAGTTAGTTGGTAGAGGGTGTGTTTCAGAGGCAATTTTTTTTTATCACTTGGTTGTTCAAATATAACCCAGTCTAGGAGCACTTAATATTGGAGACTTTGACCGTGCTAAATAGCGCCTTGAAAATAACTCCCTTTTCTGGCCGAGCTTTTACAGATTGAGACGAAGTTTTCACCAGCGTAATGGAGTGGTGGTGCAATATTCAGTGCCCTTCTATGCACGTATGACGAGCTTATGAATCGATATTAATCGATTCAATTCGCGCATCATTACATCTATAACGTTCACAAAACATCTCTGTCAGTCTAGTCCTCTAAAATATTTATGGCGTAAGCATGTAAAAAAAAGTTAAATATTAGTCATGGCATTTATTTTCATTGGCAGACCTGAGGCAGCATCGGGAATTCCACATTCCAACGTTGGGGCCTGTCTCTCCGTAGGAAGGCAAGTGTTGTTTTTAAGGCTTTATCTATAACACATCACATGTAATTGCACGGACGAGTCATTTAATATTCCATTCTGTACCTCAGAGAACGAAACCTCGCAAGGTTAATAGGAATTATAAACAAAATAAAACACATCAAGTGATCTCATTAGAAGTGCTAAATGTTTTATTCCTTGCAACTGCTGTCCAAAATGTATCCAAGTCATGCTCATGAACTGCACAAGATATACAGCACAGTACGTACTATGAAGATTATATAATCCGAGAGGAGGCAGTAGTGGTGCTGGTCCATTGGGGGGGCCTGAAGCATATTTAACTTGTCATTACCTCCCGCCTCCCCCTTTCAACTTATACAATTCTACTGAGATAACGTGAGATGTAAATGCAGTGAGATAAATGTAGACAAATAAGGAGAAACTTGCAGACAAGATAGAGATGAGTTCCATTGTGTTTTATTTTAATGAGCTTATCTGGTATTTATTTGGGGTTGAATTTGTTGTCACCCATATTTTTTTTCAGGAGCTGATCGGAGCCCTAAACATTTGCAATGACTTGTTTATGCCTGTAACCATCACTCCGAAGAGGCAGACACTTTAACAAGGGAGAAAGTATTGTTTTTTTCTCTGCAACTAAAACGTATTGGGAAAGTTTGCACGTAAAAAAAATCGGTCACAGTCCATTGTAAAACCTGGAGCTCCCTCTGGCAACAATGCGACAGCCTCACGCAGAGCATATTTTACAGGAATACATCCAGAAGAAAACATTAAATAAGACACGCTTAAACAATTAAACAATCAACCATTTTCACTTCACGTGAAGCATGTGACCCGATCCCCACCCCCAGTTTTAAGCGAAACTGTGATGACGATGTTCAGCAGTTACAGGAAACAATAAGCAGACAATGGCAATCTTACGTAGCAAAGGCATGGAATGTGGAAGTTTAGTCATCCAGTATTGAAATGAGAAAACTATTCTTTTATCATGTGACACAACGCATAAATACTAACCACAGCAGTGCGATTGTGGTCATGTAACTAAAACTATGGGCCATGTAGTAAAACCAGAGACAGAATCAGAACATTATTTGTACTGGAGGAATCCGATGAGGTCTAAAGCTATTTTTCACAGATGTCCGGTAGGAGCGGGTAAGAGCGTGACAATACGAAAACAGGATAGTGGTGCATAGTAGTAAAATAAATCACCCAGAAACATACAAATAAAATTAAACCATCCCCATCTTCTTTGGTTCTTTCGGTAAAGTCACGTAGTAGGTATAAAAATAAAACAAATTTAATCACGACGTTTCGGGCGCAACAAGCGTCCGTCATCAGGTGGGACAACCACAGTTCAGAAATTGTTTTCTTGCTGTGGTTGTCCCACCTGATGACGGACGCTTGAGTTGCGCCCGAAACGTCGTGATTTAATTGCTTTTATTTTCTTTACCCTACGTGACTTTACCGAAAGAACCAAAGAGTATGGATCCCTGCAGTCACGAAAACTTCAAATCTAGATTCATCCCCATCTTACCAGGCAAAGCTCACTGAGCCTATGTAGCTCGTTTTCAGAAGCGACCTGGCCACAAATGATAATAGCTCAATAAAGTGGCTTATTATGCGGGCATTTATAGCAGCCAAATACTCTTAAACGCACGTTTCTATATGTGGAGGGGAAAAACCGGAGGGCAGCGGAGAAAAAAAATCCACTGCGCTCCTTCAACGGAGTCGCAAAATACAAAATCTCCTGAAATCCTTGACATTGGCATTTAGCTCCTGGACGTATTGGCATTCACAGGAATGGGAAGGTAAATAATGCTCCGTTATTGGGATGAGAAGTCACGAGGCACACGTCGTTCGCACGACTCGGGAGGCAAAGAGAACTGATAACAGGTCCCTGCAGGGTGGGCTGGTAGGAACATTGTAATTTTGCGCAATTTTATTTTTACACCCCAACAGCACGAGATTTCACTTCGTTAAAGTATTGAAAGGGGACGGACGGACGGACACATTAATCTATTGCAGGCTGGTACACTCAGTTTACAACTTCGTTCCTACCAGTATAAATCCACACAATCAATTCCCGTGATTACAAAGTTGGACGCGGGCTCAAGCCACGGAGGCCATCTCAAACTGTATGAAGGCAACAGGCCATTGCCACGAAACGTTAGCCAATTTACGTACAGTACGCATTCCTGTTAACTCCTTACCAGAGGGTCATTTCAGATCTCATGGGTCTAAAAAGTCCCATCGCAAGTGAGAAACGGATGTACGCCGGATGGACCTGAAAACTCAATGTCCCTGTACAATAAGGCTTGAACCGTACGGGTTGGCCGGGTATGACTTAACCAGTGTTATTTAGCGTTTTTTTCGGGAAATTAGTGAATGCATTGCCACGAATATTTACCGACGAACGGGTCTTAAATCGACCACATTTATTGCCGTCTGTATGTATGGTGGGTACATTAAGTGGTTTTATCGACCACGAAAGCGTGATTGGGGCTGGAGTAGTAAATTGTCCTTTTTAAAAAAAAAGCTAAACATTTACATTGATAAAATTTCACATGTTATTACGACTCCAAATTAATAACTAAAGTCACGGTGAGATTATTATGACAATTAAATGTAGAGAGAGAGAGAAAAAAAACCCATTTTAAAAACAACAATAACAACAACAAATCGGAAATCCCACGCGGTGCTCTCTGGGAGTCGTTTTCATTCGAGCGACCCCGCCCCCAACTTTAGATTCCGTAGCTCAGTTAAACCGCCGTCGCGGCCCGCTCCGCTCGCAGCTATTGGCCGCTTGCCACCACGTGACCAGCCCCACTTCCCCTCCGCCCCCACCTTGCCCCTCCATGCCTAAGCGCAGTGGGGAATCCAAGAAGGTCCGCGGCGGCGTCCAGTGACCGAGGGGGAGCGCGCTGCTCGTTTCGCAGCGTCCAGAAGAAGTTTAAATTAAAAAAACAAACAACTAACAAAAATCGTTCATAGAAATTAACAAACGCACGCACGCCTCGCTAGTGCCGACGCGCCGCAAGGAGTTTGTTGTTGTTGTTGCTGCTGCTTCTGTTGTCTCTTTCTCGAGTGGCTTTTGCGAGGCGATAGCGGCGAGAGTTGCGAGGAGCCGGGCCCCAGAGCGCCCCCCACAACCACCGCCGCCCCCCACACCAGGTACGAAGGAGACGTGAAAGAGCGAGTTGGTGGGTGGAGGGGAGACGGGCGGCGAGATTATGGAGGCGTTCGTTCCGTTTCGTTCAGTTTCGTTCCTCAAGTCCGCTGGTCCCGGCGAGGCTCGCGGCGGCCCCAGCAGACCTCCCTTTGGCTGGCGGCGGACTCTGCGTGTGGCTCTTCCTGGAGGACTTCCCAGTGGGATCGTCTCGTCGAGGCATTATATAAAATTCGTAACGAACCGAGTTTAAAAAAAAAAGTGTCTCCCGGATCAAGCGGACTGTGTGGGTGGAGGAGGCCGCTGCTCGCTGTGGGAGCGGTGTAGGCCCTGGTACCAACTGATGGGCATTCCTCGTTACTGTGACGGGGCTGAGCGGATTGACGATGTTTTGCCGACTTCGGACGGGAAGATGCGACGGTGGTGATGAGTGGAGTCGTAATGGTTATGATCATGTTGTGGTTGTTAATTATGGAGATGATGGCAGTATTGTGATGGTCTTGATGATTGTTGATCGCAATGGTGGCAATGACGGTGATTAATGTTAGTCGATGGTGGCAGCCAGTGATGACGATTGTGGTGATTAATGGTGGTGAGGGATGATTGTGGTATTTGACGTGACGATTATGATTACGGTACGTATAAAAGGACTGATTTGAACGCAGGCCCGGATTTGAACTCGTAATCTTCTTGAAAATCAAGGGCCCTGGTCACGGAGACTCGACCGGTGATGTGAATTTACAAAGCAGTACGAGGTGGCCACCTGTCTCACGGAGTTGCTATTGCAGCGTTAGTTGTGTCGAGGCACTAAATCACTCAGGCATTTACAAATGATGTGCTTCACTCGGATATTGATAAGGTCTGTGATATCCCCAACCTGACTACGGCTTGGGAGACTTTCAGGTACACGTTTCTCCAAATTCTTAACAAACATGCTCCGTTGGTTAGATTTAAAACTAAAGGCAACCGCCCACCATGGTATGATCCTTTGATTACAAAGCTCATGAAAACTAGGGACAAGGCTTGGGCATGTGCTCAGAAAAGTTATTTGGTAAATGACTGGCTAGAATACAGGATTTTAAGGAATAGATGCGTAAAAAATATGGCATGCAAAAATGCCTATTTTTCCTCCACTCTCCTGGAATCACATGGAAATGCCAGGATTTTTTGGAAAACAATCAAATCTATCGAAAAGGCATCCAAAACAGAAAATCTGCCCGTTGAGCTTCACCGAAATGGGGAATATTTTTCAGATCCCAAAAAAATAGTTGACAATTTTAACCTTCATTTTTCTGAAGCTGGTAATCTTTTTGATAATGTATTGGGAGTCACCCCTGCTCCTGCAAATTCCTACACCCCTGTCCAAACATTAAACGAATTTAGTTTCCAACCAATCCACGAAAGTAATGTTCTGAAACAACTGTCCTACCTCAAAGGGTTCTCGTCTACCGGAGCAGATAGTTTTCCCGTCTTTGCTCTACAAACTGTTGGTCACCTAATATACAAACCTATAGCCCATATTTTCAACCTGTCCATCAAAGAAGCATCAGTTCCTCTAGAATGGAAACATTCCTATGTCCGTCCACTTCACAAAGGGGGCCCTAAAGATGATCCCAATAACTACCGACCTATCTCAATTTTGTCCCCATTGATGAAAATTTTTGAAAAATTATTGAACTACCAAATTAGCAGTTTCCTGTCCACCAACAATCTACTACATCTAAAACAATCTGGGTTCCGGAAAAAAATACAGCACCACATCTGCTGCATTAGACTCTTTGAATCAAATTTACAATAGCCTTGATAATAAGCAGTACTGTGCCTGTCTTTTTCTTGACCTGTCCAAAGCTTTTGATACAGTTGACCACAACACCCTGCTTAGTAAACTAAGTTGCCTCGGTTTTTCCGAGAACACAGTACAATGGTTAAAAAAATTACCTCTTTTCTCGCACCCAAACTGTATTCACAGATGGTTGGAGGTCAAACAGTGTTAAGATAACAAAAGGGGTTCCACAGGGTTCCATCCTCGGCCCCCTCTTGTTCTCTCTTTATGTCAATGACTTGGGCACTGAACTGGATCATTCCAGGGTAAATCTTTTTGCAGATGACACGATACTGATTACTGCTGGCCGCTCTCCGGATGACGTGATTACTAAGCTCCAGGGTGATTTCAACAAACTACAACATCAGCTAGTTTCTCTTAAACTAGTCCTGAATACCTCCAAAACCAAGGTGCTATGCTTCTCTCCGGGACTAAAGCAGGAAGTTATTTTTCCCCAATTACATTCCTTGAATAATTATCAAATAGAGCAAGTCAAGATCTATAAGTATCTTGGGGTCATCCTGGATTCAAAACTTAGTTTTGAAGATCACATTGATTATATTGGTAAAAAGACAAAAATAAAAATTGGTTTTCTGTATCGACACAAGCACTGCTTCCCCCCAATGTTCCGTTTGGAATTGATAAAAGCTACCATACTGCCTCTACTTGACTACTGTGACATCGTGTATAAATCAGCCCCAAGTACTGTACTGAAGAAGCTTGATTCCATCTATCACTCGGCCTTAAGATTTGCATTGAACTGCCCATATAGGACTCACCACTGTGATCTCTACATTGGGTCAAACTTAACATCTCTTAATGTTCGACGGCTTGTGCACCAGATGTTATTTATTCACGATGTACTTACAAAAAATTCCGCAGACTACCTACTGGATCTCCTCTCTGTTTCAAAGAACAAATTTGACCTCAGGTCTTCGCTCATTTACCAGCTTCACATTCCCTATTGCCGTACAAAAACTGGAGGAAGGGCCTTTGCTATTGATGCCCCCAGGGTATGGAATGCTATTGCCAATAAACTGCAACTTGAATCACTACCTATGAGATCTTCACTCAAAACTGCTCTAGAGGAGTTGTACAACCCTAGCTGCCACTGCTATTCAGTGGCCTAAAATATGGCTCTAGATTTTGGTGTTATAATTTATTTATGTAGTTTATTGTTAAAAATTCGGTCACAGTCCCTATGATCACTGTTACATTGGATTTATGGCTTTTATTTTGGTGATTTAGAAAAGTTTTTTTTTGTTTTGGCCATGTTTTTGTTTATTGTAGTACGGAGTTAGACTGATGGCTTTAATCTTAGTTGTCTTGTGGTTGTTGGTGTTGTTGTTATTTGACTTGCATCCCACTGGGATTTTTGCACACAGCGTTGGTGTACGGTGCTATTTCAGGAATATTTTGATATTTTTTTCCTGTATTTTCTGTTTGCACAGTCACATAATCACTTTAAGATGTTTTCTTGTTCATGTTTTTTGTTTGTTGCGGTTGCACCCGATTCAAGAGCCGAATGGCTCACAGAGCTATACCAAATAAATGAACTATGAGAGCACCGAGCAATTAAGTACCACAAGAACCTGGATTAAGAATATGCGTGTCGGCCCACACCTCATTAAACCGTGTTCCTGAAGTGGAAGCGAGTTTGTATTCAAACCCAATACTTCTAAAAACACTCGAATTTAATTATTTTTTTCTCACGCAAGTTTCTCTTATATATGTCGACTTAAACGTTTCGGGTTGACATGCAACGCTAATTGTGGGAGCAAAAGTGTGGGTGAACAGGCATTGCTTGCTGTGAGAATTCCAAATTGGAAATTGTGACTTAGTTAAATTCAGTATATGTACAGTAGATTTTCTGAGAATCTCTTTATTGTTCTTCGCATTTATGATGTAGTTATGTTTCTGCAATTAATGATATTGTAACAAACTTTACACAGGGCCTCCCTCGTGCAGGAGACTTGTAAAATATCTCGTGATGTTGACGATTGACATGTGATGAACAGCCCCTATTGTTGCTTGTTGTTCAGGGCTGGTGCGATCACAGGCCTCTGGCACAGCTGCAGAGATGTCCGAGTTGAGTTTTGCCGAAAAGGCAGAGGAGGTGACGCGTGAGGAGTGGCTGGAGCGCGTTTCCAATGCCCATATCCAGCGCGCTGACATGAATCGCCTCATCATGAACTACCTGGTCACAGGTGGGAGCCGTCACCTGGGCATTGGTATTGATAAGCCACGGTAAATTTATTTTGCTAAGCCGTGTGGTGAGTTTCGTAAAGGTTTGTTTCAAAGGTTTTTGTAGTGTTCATGAAACATGTAAAACTGGCATGTAGCGTTACATTGCTTCATTGGTCAAAATCGATAATTATGCTCACTTTACATCAGGGTCGTGTGACCTTTTCTAAACGAGCCACATTGAGCATGTTGCAGCTCCTGCCGCTGGGAAGGCCACGTAGAAAATTAGTGAGCGTGACATTACGAAACGTTACAATATTCACAAAAGCATTGTATCCTTAAGTTAGAAGTGATATCGGTTAAACATCTTACAATCGGAAATAGTAACAGATTGATAATATAAACAATACAAAGACAAGCATTTGAAAACACATTCATTACAGAATCGTTTAATCCAACTGCCCATTTAGCAAATTAGGAAAACTATATCATTTCCATGGATTATGTAACACTTTCTGACGTATTCTTTCTGACGTGTTTGTCTTAATATATATTTTTAAGGATAGCTGTCAGGGCAAAACGTGTTTGTGTATTTGGAAATAGCCCTCTTTGCTTTGAGTCTGTGTTTTTGGGAGCCCGTTGATCAATTCTGGCACTTTTCAATAAAGCCGATAAAAGAAACGCAACTACATATGACAGGTATGTTCATCTTTACGAAGGAATGTACGAACATAAGTAATGTGTACACAGTCAACCTTAGTTCGAAAGTATTAAAACTGCCTGAGGGAATTAACTGCACTGTGCCATGTGCCTGTTCTGTAGAGGGCTTCAAGGAGGCGGCGGAGAAGTTCCGTGTGGAATCGGGCATCGAACCGGGTACAGACCTTGACTCGCTGGACGAGCGCATCAAGATCCGGGACGTCATCCTCAACGGCCGCATTCAGGAAGCCATTGGCCTCATCAATAGTCTGCACCCCGAGCTGCTAGACACCAACCGCTACCTCTACTTCCACCTGCAGGTTAAAAGCCTACGGCTCGCACACAGCCTGAGCGTAGCAATTGAGCACGTTGAGATTCATTTACACCTTCATTGCACTTGTCTCTGAATGCGCAGCTTGCCATGTTTTGGTAGTCTCACATAACGTTCATGCACCAGCCCTCGAGTGTGCTAGACCACAGGTGTGACATGACCTCGGCAGTTGTCGTGCAAAGTTGTCTTCGCAGGCCATTCTCTGACGCTATACAATATCTCTGCTTGCCACGAATGTGTTTCAAATGTTCATTTCTTCATCACATGACAGCACTCAGAATAGCGCATCTAATTGTGTCCATACGTTTATCTGTGCATGCGTGAGGTAGCAGCAGCATCTGATCGAGCTGATCCGCGAGCGGCAGACGGAGGCTGCGCTGGAGTTTGCACAGACGCAGCTGGCGGAGCGTGGCGAGGAGAGCAGTGAGTGCCTCCTGGAGATGGAGCGCACGCTCGCCCTGCTCGCCTTCGACAGCCCAGAGGAGTCGCCCTTTGGCGAGCTCCTTCATCCCTCGCAGAGACAGAAGGTGCCAGAGAAATCGCTGGCTTTGTGCCACACAAACAAGGATACAACCCATTTAACAAACGGTTTCAGATCATGAACTTAAATGTAATTTGTAATATAGAGCATTACAAATGACGTTTTCCAGTCGGTGACAATTATTGTGGAAGTGTATTGCAATTGTGTTGAGAAATCAAAATTGTCCACAGCCCCAGTCAATTGATTAACATCGATTTGTTATCTGCCTTTCACATAACACTGCAACTTGCACCATGACATGAGTCACTCGCAATCACTGAACCACTGTGTGGCGTCTCTGCACTCTGTCTTGCGCAGGTTTGGAGCGAGGTAAATGCTGCCGTGCTTGACTGTGAGAATCAGGACTCGACACCCAAGCTGGCCAAGCTGCTCAAGCACTTGCTGTGGGCCCAGAACGAGCTGGACCAGAAGAAAGCAAAGTACCCGCGCATGACCGACCTGGGCAAAGGCACCATAGAGGACTTCAAGTGAAACAGCGCCCCCTCTTCTCACTCGCCCTTCTGCGTGCTTGCCAACTCGCTCGCTCCCCTCCTACTTTCTACAGAATTCTCCAATGCCAACTACGCTGAGCCAGAACCACTCTCGTCCTCCCTTCATGTTTCCTCGATTCATACACGGTGTGGATTTGTTGTTTTTTTGGTTTCAGTTCGGTTGGATATTCCTTGCTTTTGTTTGGTTTGTACTAAACAATATGGGCTGACTGCACGAGAATATTGGCCTCCGGAATAAGGGGCTATGCGCGAGTGATTGTCTTGGCTATGGAAACACATGCAGCTGTTGAGAAGCTATGGGCAACTGAACCTTTGACTGTCATGTTGCCTATTTGATAAGGGTTAGGGAGAGTGGCTTAATCGACGCTGGGCCAGACCGACGTCTGGCTCGGTTTGCTGTAATCTGCGTATGCGTTACTTCGCTCTTGTAATGTACAGAATCGTCGGTAAGTTATTTTCATCGTGATTGCTCATCAGCGACCTGGCAAAAAAAGAAAGATGTTTTGTTTCGGTGAAATGTCCATGTAATTTTCCACGGTTTCGTCAACAAAAAAATGCAAGGCTTGTTTTGCATTTTCAGTGGTCGTTAACGATGGTTGACAGAATTTGTTTGCAGTGATGCATTGCTTTAGTTTAGATCCCTTTGTAATCTTACTTCGTTAATTTTCAATGGCAGCGTTTGTAAAGAGCAGGAAAGCTTGCGGTATGATCTCCACACACATGCTGCATGCTAGCCACATTTCTGGCATTTCACCCAACTAGAAAATGCTAAGGCATCCCTGCTAACATGCCACTTTTGTGCTTCACAAACAGGAAATCGTGGGAGCCTTTATTTTGGGCTATGAGCATTAGAGTAATTGAACAACAATGATTATTATTCCTTTACACTGGGGGTGTTTACGATGTTTCACGTTGTAAGATGTGGTGCCAGTTTGGGAGGCAAAGGCTGAGGAATCACCATGGATGCATAAGAACATGCTCAAGTTGCTGTACTGGCATTGAGTACCTGTTGTACATTATTGTAACAAATGGTAGGCGTGTCTGGGAAAACTTTGGCAGTGTTCACTTTAGTTCCCAGCGCTACTTGTTTTGACGGACAGCTGCCATCAGACAATGCATGTTTTTTTCCTTAACAGTATTTGGGCAGCATCTCCTTTAAAGCATACAAAATATAATCAAGTAAAATTTCCTCGTTATTCAAACAAGCATTGGGGGCAATTTAACATGTAGGCTTTCGCGAACAATACCATCCATAATATAGGTTTTTTGGGTTAGATCGCATAAATATAAATGTGTCGTTAAACCCGCCATAACCAGACAGCCGATTGTTTGCCATGTAAACAGAACATGCCAATTCGTTACTAGTACATTTCGGGTGGTGGTGGTTTTATCGACAAATTAATATTTACGCGATCTAACCAAATAACCTATTATGCATTGGAGCTGTTTATCTCCATTGTAAACCAGTGGGAGAAATTATTTATTCCCATGGCAGAGGCCATTTAGCCATAGGAGGACGACTCTTGACTTCCAACAAAGCCTTATACATTTATTTTTCCCAGAGGGATGCTGGTATCGAGTCATTCCTCTGACCCCAGGATTTGAATTCACAACCTTACTGCTAGTCAGGTGTTTTAATCACCGTGCCACCCCATTGGATACAAATGGTGCACATGGCTTAAAATGTAGTTTTGAATAATTAATACAATTTCAGTATTTAGGCTGGCTTTCCAGATGCTTGTGTGCAGATGCTGCACCTCCATAGCAAATTACGACAGCTGAACGGCCCTCTTCCTGCCACATTAATTTAACTAAAAGCAATGGGGAATGTCCTCAAATGTGTCAGAGCGTGGAGGAGTTAATCCCCCTCATGTTATTTTGAAATTGCAGAGAGAAATGCAAAAGTTGGCAATTGGCAATAATCGCCAGGTATCGTAGGGCAGTTTAGAGGTAAACTAAATGTGTTTCACCATTGAAGGCTGCAGGCTCTCCAGATTTCCTGTTACGGTGTCTTTATTGATCCCTGGGACACTGCCATGGTGTAAATATATACTGCACCCGCTGTGGTCATGTAATGATTGATCAATTAAAATTTATTATGTGCAAGATGTATACATCAAATCGTGCTTGCAAGAATCTTATTACAATTAATTCAAATATGGAATAAAAAAATGCAAACGTTACCTTGAAGCCAGTGGAACGAACAGAACAAATTAAACATGGTACAAATAAAATGGACTACAATTAAGACAGAATAAAAATAAAAATTGTACATCTTTAATTAAAAGAAATATCCTGAAATTGGGGAAATGCAGTGAATCAAAAGTGCTTGGGGATACTCATGTCGAACCTGATTAGGATCTGCAAATGAAGTTAAGTTCAATTTGGGGGTAAAGAGATTAGATCTTACATCCCACACCACTGACTAAAAGGAAACCCGAGCTGGAGTTTGGACTCCTCAAACTAGAGCCTGGATTCTGCCCTGGTCCTGACAAACTTGTTCGGCTGTCTGCTCATTCAGGCTAATTCCTAGACTTGTAATGTGAAACTGAGCCAGGGTTGGATCAGCGTTAAATGGCCATTTGCCAGGTTGGCCAGACATAAAATTGAGCTGTCTCAGCTGTTCAACTTCAACCTCCTGATTATTATTTCCTAATTTATTAAAACAATGTGCTACTCAGCATAGAAGCCATGGCTGCCTTCTATCAGGCGATGGATTGTTACATTTTCTTGTAGGTTTACCTGTGTTCACGGCATCTCTAAAACAGAGAAAGCAACTGGGATATCTTGCTGTCTTGTTACTCCCAGAAAACAACTGCTACGTTAGAATGTGCTCCTGGTCAACTTTGGTGGGACTCACAAGCATGGGCAGACCTCGACTCCTGTAGGACAGCTGATCTGCATGGATTGCACGACTGATGACATAACATGAACAGGTTTTCGTAGGGAGGTATAGAACAGACAATTTGGACCAGCTGAGCTCCATTAAACTAAGGTTGACAGAAAGAGGGGGTAACTACCTACATTAATGGCGTCAAGGACAACTGTGCAGGCAGCAGTAGAGAAACATCCATGTCGAGCAACACTTGCAAGCCCGTGTCTGCTCTGCCGACACGGAGTTCACACAAATGTGGATGAAGAGCGAAACCCCAATTCTCCAGGATTCAATGGGACTTTCATTAGAGCAGGGTGGCAATGGCTGGCCCAAGGGTGGTGCAGAGCAGTATCCACAGCCAAGAGGATAATGGAAGGACCCTGGTGGTGGGTAAATGTGGGTAAGCTTCACGAGTCTGGAATGTGAGCAGATGGAACCCCCACCCAGCCCAGGGCTGGGAATTTGCCGTAATTGCACCGCTGAAAGAGGATGTCGTGAACTCTTGGGTTAATTAAAAAAAAACATTCCAGAGAGTCCTGGATACTCTCTCAAGACCGCCAAGACAAAACCTATTACTCCTGGAGCATAGAGCCCAGATTGGCTCCACCTTGCATCTTCCAGGAAGATGCAATCCCAATATCAAATGGCTCATTTCTTTTGGATCCGCACCTCGGTATTGCCCCAGGCTGCACGGCATGGGGTTAAATGGTTGAGGGAAAAATGAATAAGGTCTAACTGAAGCACAATCTAAATACCTTGCTGCAGCATCCATCTCAGAATTGTATGGAAAGCTCTCGATCGATTTGAAGTATTTTCTCATTATTGAACCCAAACCGTATAGACAGACCAGAGCAAAAGCTTGGGGTGTAGCTTTAAGAGCAGTTTTGTTTTTTGGTGTAAAAATCTTCCTATAAATCAGCTGCCTCTTGCCAGAAGTTGAGTTTTTTGTTTAACTGCAGTACCTCAATTTTAGGTCCAGGTGATGAGACAAATGCCCAGTTTCCTCCTTGCCGAGTCCAGACCCAATTAGGGTCCCAATTTAGAAATCCTAAAGGCTAAAATTTGCCTTGACAGTTGCGTTCAGGGTTAGTGCATTCACATCCACTTTGTGGGTTCTGCAGCTCCCCTGCTTTGATTTGGTAGTTTTTTTACCAAATGCATATATAGCCCAAAAAGGTCAAACTTATTTTTGGTATACTTTTTGATTGATATTTTTTTAGGAGTCGTGTTAAAATGTTGTCTTATAAGAACTTTTATTGCAAATGTATTATCTGGAGATTGCAGGGTGAATTTCTCAGTGACATACATCACGTTTAACTGTGTATAAGCTGTCAACATTTAATTCAGTGAACTTTCATTCTGAAGGTGATGTTTTCCTTAAAATTGTCTTCAATACAGCAATACCCTCGCCAACCGCGGGGGGTTAGGTTCCTGGAAAAGGCCGTGGAAGACAAATTCGCAGTTGGCAAAGTAGTCCAGGGCCTATGGAAAATATGGAGTTGGAGGAACCATGGCCACACCCGTCAAAGCTTAATTGCGTTGACCGTTTACTTAAACAAATAAAACAGTACATCACGTAATAAACATCAATTTAACTTTACATACCTTAATACTGAGGGTAGAAGTCCATGATTTTGACAATGATATGGGGGGGGGAAGGGGTGGTTAGGAGGGGTTCAGCCCACCCTTCCTCTGGGTCATCAATTACACGTGTGGGCAGGTAAGGAGGCAGGTAGTGGCGCTGCTGGCTGGATCAGTGGTGTTGGTTCTTTTCTTTATAAAAATGTAGGATGAATGGATGGACCAACAGAAGCAAAAGATGCGCTGCGAGACTCAGCAAAACAGATGGACAGCCAATGCGCTACGCAGCGCCACAGGTAGCGTGGAAGACAACTGTGGCTCCACAAAATTTGAAAATGCGTTGTAAACTTATATACAGTTAAACCTTGTGTACATCAAGTCCGTAGTTTACAAGGGATTGCTTTATTCAAAAATGAGGGACTTGCCATGTAATAGTTTGCACACACTGGACTTACAATCCGGAGGTGGGACATTTTAATTCCTCCTTGCAGTGGAACCTTGGGCAAGATTCTCAAAAACAATATCTCTGCATGTCCACAAAGCCGTATAAAATGGGTCAACGACACTCCATTGGCAGGTTGCTTGTGGTGGTGTAGTCTGGGTATGCACTTTTCAATAGGTCTGGTCAACATGGAGTAGACAATGCTCTCGAGTTTGCTCAAGAGGCCCATCTGCCAGCAGTGGCATGCGCAAGCATTTGCGGCCGCATCTTTGACTTTAACAAATTACCCTGAAGATTTTGAAATCTAAATAGTTTGTTTACACTTTTTTTAACAAAGCCAATTGAAAGCCATTTTAAATAACCAAGTCAAAGTAAAAAAAAAACAAGAATTGGGCAGTGCTCTGCTTCCACTGGTAGCCGTGAGTCAGTGGTGCTCCCAATTTATTGTCGGCCATGGACAATTAACGAGGTGGAAGTTGCCCAATTGGAAGGAGGTGCATCTGTCCATGTGTGTTCTCCAGGGCTGTGCTCCATGGCCACAGTTTTATCAGCCCTCTCCCCCACCACCAGCCGTTGCACCCACCCTGCTTTGTATAATATTTAGGTCACCCATGCCAATGGGCTGCAATCTGTGGTGCAACGTTAAGATAGAAACGGGCAGAAGGGTGCTGAATGCAGGCGGCATTGCGCAATCTGTATACAATCGGCAATTAATGTAAATTTGCAAATTGTGAAGCTAAATTTATCGTACGTTTATTCAGCCAAAAGGTTTCTGCTGTAGAGCTGTAAAATTGTGGGTTACTTTTTTGTTGGAAAGAGAACCTCCATGTCTACCACTTCTAACATAACAGGTCTGTAAAAAACTAAAGGGAAAGTAAACTGCATACAAGAGACTTTGCAAAAACACCTGATGGATGGTTATGCATTAGGTTCAGTGGGAAGGGTAGTGGATTGGAGTTAGGGCAAGTGTTTGGCTAATTGTGCTTCCAAACTCTTGCCTTTGCCACCCTTGCCATCGTCTCCTTTTCAGCTTAACTTATTTTCATTGTTGGCATTGGCAACACAATTAAGGAAAACCACCGTTATGAATGACACGTTCCTTATACACTGTACAAAGGCCAGTGTCAGTAAAAACTGAGTCGCATTTATTTTTTGTTCAGACGCTACAAACTAAATTGCATTGAGATGCAAAGCGCATAAAGGGAATTTCTCAAAAACAAGAATCAGCTAAAAAAACATTAAAACAAAGTGAAAATAAACACGCAAGATTCCTTAATTCGTGGCCAATTCTCGACCGTCAGACAACCGTGGCACTGCTACTGGTCTGCAGTAGATGTAATGAACCACACACTGCAGTTCACCTTTTACAAATAAACATTGACCACAGGGGGCTTTCAACAGCCTGCTCATTGCCTAAAAGCCAAGATGTACACCTCCCAGGCTCATTCAACTGGAACACAATTATCCAATGCTCATCCATTGCAGGTTGAACAAATTAAGCCAGCGCTAAAAAATAAACTTTTAAAGTATATTGTGAACGCATTTAAATTTGTGCACTTGTCAAAATGTCTCCATGTCCAAACAGGCAATGGTGCTGAACTGATTTAGAGGCCCCAAGCCAGTGGTACAAATTCCATATTACCCTGGCAGGCCCAATCTCAGCAAGACCACTGCTGACTTCTCTCAAAAGGGGTATGGCTTGGCTGTAAACTTTCACTCAGCAGTTACTCCATGAGCCCAGAACAGTTATTTCAGTTGTTGGTACCATCCGAGGTGGCACAGCTTTAGTTGTTACAATTTTTGTGGCCAATTATAGTGAATCTTGTAATAACCATTTGACACGAGTGGGTTATCAAGTAATTAATTCAAGGTATAAACCATATACATAAATCGGTATTGCAAAAAGTTTTGCAACTTCAGTGGTACCAAGATCTGTTCTGGCTCACAGACTAAGTGACACACTGATCTCACCAGTTCAAAATCAGAATGTCTTGTGGAGGAATCCGATGCTGCTCAAAAGGCTGTGCGCACGGCCGTTCACGTGTAACCTTTCGGTAAATAAACACGAACTCTACATACATGATGCTGCCGCCTTGTCTATACAATCTCCTTTGGTTTAAATGCATGGTGAATGTTTAAGTAATTGTTGGAAGCTACACAAGCCTGCCACGCAAGCAGGCACTGGAGTTTGGCTTCAATTGCTACTGGGATTCGAGTTAGTTTAACCAGATTTTTCTTCAGCAATTAACTTAAAGAGCTGAGCAAGACAAGACAATGCCCTCCCCCTGGTCAATGAGGCTCTCCATTAACTGGGGATAAAGCATATCAGTGACAAACCATCACACCACAAGTTTAAGAAGGCTTTTAAACAAGAAAACATTATGGGAGAAACATACCACATATTCCCACAAAGCAAATGGCTTAACACCCCAAGCAGGACTTTCCTTTAAGAAGTTCCCAAGACTCGGTTAAAACTTTCCTGAATCTTCGCCTGCGGAAATGATTGCGTGATGATTATTATCTTGTGGTGGTAGCGCTTGGCCGGTGACATGTTTACAAGCCTATCGGCTCTGGTTGCATGGCGGTTGGTGGGCGAGGTCATTCTTCAATGAGAATTCTAATAACCATCGGAACTAGACAAGTTATGTGTTAAATTGTCTTGTCACACCACCATCAGTATTGTCACCCACCACCAGCTGTGCTTGCTACTCAAGTAGAACATACATTGTGGACTGAGTTTATCCCATTATGTTCTGCAGCCTAAATAAACCCCGATTGACATCTTAGCATAGCCATCATTAAGCAATTGGCAATTTTTAAAACCGAAATTATAATATGCAATTAAACACTACGAATCGGCATAGTAAGAGGACAGCCTCTGGCAGCACATCATAAACCATTCTTATAAACCAACATCTTTGCAAACAACAGTACCATCAGTTGTTTAAAAAAAGTTAACCATTCACATGGATTGGCCAATGTACCAAAGCGCCAAAGTCAAAGCAAAGGCGCCTGGATTTCTTGGTCTCACCAAGAGGTCCAAAATTATCCTTCAACTAAATTGACATTGCATTTATATTGCTCAATATCTCTGTTGTGTCACATACAAGTGAGGGCCATATTCACATGCAGGTGAATGATATGATTCTGGCAATGAAATGCCAACACCCAATTTGAGTTGATCTGTACTTTAAAACATTACCAAGCTGTGCAGTTAATGTTGCAATTTATAAAAAAAACAGGCTTTGTCTTAACAACTGTGATTGTTAACGGGAAATTAAATCTCTGAAAAATAAGCAATGAAAAGAGATTTTAGCTTATACCTGGGGTATTCATAGCAAGATGCGCTACGCCAGCGGTGACCAATACGTAGTTCGCAAACGATTTTTTGTGGTTCTCAGGACAAATCAGAACACTAACAAGCATAAAACTATTCTCTGTATGGTTGATGGCAAACACAAATCCATAAGAATTCATACATTGAAAAAAAAATTCTACCAATCGATGGCATTGGTACTCTTGATGTATTTCGTACATTACAGGGTTAAATATGTCAGGGTAATTGTCTTTCTGATGGTGGATCACAGAACCCGTTGAGATCCACCAGAATGGATCGTAGTGTTTGGTCTATTGGCTACCGCTGCACTACAACACTGTTTAACGATCAATTCCATCACCACAAAGGGAACCCCTCCTATAGAGACTTTTCTGTGCAGCCACTCGCATCGCTTACTCGTGAAGACCTGCAACCATTTCGCACCACTCGTGGCTATCGCATCAGCTCAAATGCCATTCCTTTTTGCCAAGTCCCTTTCTATTAAAGTCGGACGGACCGCTCCGACGATCATCTCCACCACCATCTTTATGGATCCTTTTTACATTATCTTCCATGTTTATAAACAACAATGGAATTAACAACCCTCTCTCTCAAAACGTAAACGACAAGAAAGCAGACTTCTTTGCAAATCACTCGATACAATAATAAAACACGTGGAAAAATAAGACTGCACGTTTTCTAAATATATTCTTAAAACGCCCTTACTGCTTGCAGAAGCAAGCAAGGCTTGTGCGTAAGCAAAAAAGGATTGCAAACAGCAGCTCTGGTAACCAATGAAATGTGAAAAAAATAGCATCCATTGGGAGGAAGAAAGGAATCAAGGCATGGGTTCACAGTCCCGTGACCCAACATCTCTGAAATTATCTTGGCAGGCAGATAAAAAAAAAACCCAAATAAAATCCTCTATCCTTCCCAACAACCTTCACTATGGAGAAACTAAATGGCCAGATTCACATCTTGACGTTGAAGGCCACAAAATATCACCTTGGTGATTTTATCCATTGTTGGTGACATTGTTCAAAAAGCGTGACAAAATGGGATCGTCATAAAACCACGGGAATTGGGCCATAAACGTCTTGAGGTTTTGCACCGCCTGGCTCAGGTCACAAACATCATGTCGCGTTTTGACAGCAGTAAGGCCAGGGTGTGAGATTTCATGATCAAGGACTACAATGGAACACCCCAGGTGGAGTGATGCAGACCTCGCAGGTGGACTCAACCATTTAGATGGAGGGGTAGGGGCCACGTGGAGACTGGGGACGAGTAACGCTGGCCCTATCTGGTGCACGTGGCACGCCGCCTGCGGTCCAGTACTCTGGAGCGGGGGTTGGTGGGTCATGTAGAGAACAAGTAGTGCTCGTAGACTCAACCCAAGCAGAACCCTCATGAAAAAAAGCCAGAGACTCGACGAGGCTCTCTCATGTAACTAAAAAATGGTCAGTGTCTCCACGCTTAAAAGGGGAGTTGGCCAGAGCCCGTCTCTTTTTCTGGTTACGACTCGGGCTCTGACCATATCGAGTGGCCATATAAAAAAAGCCATGCAGTGTTATGATTAATTAGTCCATAATTAGTTTTTTGTTTTAACAAACCGATAAGAAGAAATGGTCAAACTGGTAAACAATTCAATTCATTCACCAACTCAATACCCATCACCAACCACCCATATTACCACATGCCTCCACACACCCATCCACCACCAAGTACCCACCCACTCACTCACTGCCCACCCATCTCAACAACTCAACCTCTCACCACTACCCCCTCCCCCCCCCCTTGTCTTCTCCTGGTGCTGTTGGTGATTTGCGGGTCTCCAGGCGCTAGACCCGCGCCAGGATGCATGCGATGAGTGCCATGCGCACGTACATGCCGTTCTCCATCTGGCGGAAGTAGGCAGCACGAGGGTCCGAGTCCACCTCCGGGCTGCGGGGTCACAACCACATCCAGGGGACCATCAGCATTCACATCGTATCAACAACTTCAACGTTCCGATATCGTTAATGTCCTCTGCACCGTGTTGAACCTCCACACTTGCTGCTCAAAACGCTTCTCTCTCCACTTCCTCCTACTGCTCCCCTTTGGAATTCCCTGCTCTCTCTTTCCTCCCCTATCTGTTTATAACCTTGCTCAATTTCATGAAACTTAGAGACTTATCGATGACAACTGTATGTGCCATTTGCTGCTGGCCGCTTGGTGTGTTGGTCCTATGCTCGACAACTCATAACAAGCCCCACCTGCAATAAGATCCCACCACCACCATCATCATGAATATAACTTTCTCACAGTAAACATTTTTTGTATCACAGCCACCATCATCATTCGTAGCGTCAGCAATAATATTTCATCCCGTTCATCGTAATCGTTAACAATATCATTATCAACAGCAGCAACGTAAATAATCGCTACTGCAACCGCCACTCAGCGTCGCCATATCTCCACCAAAGCTACAATCATCAACGCTTACATCGTCGCCATCACAAATGATGTGACCATCGCGTTGGCGCACGCGCGCTCGCACCTGATCTCGTTGACGCGTGGCAGGGGGTGCATCACCACCATCTTGGCCTTGGCGCGTGTCATGATGTGCGGCGTCAGCACAAACTGCCCAAAGCACTGAGCGGCACGGGGGAGGACACGGGATGGGAAAAAAGGGACAGACTCCTGAGTACAAACACCGAGGCAGCAGCATGGTCGGGGAAGGAGAGGATGACTCTGACGCAGGACACAGTCAGAGGGGAAGGCAGGAAGAGTCAAATCTTCAACTGAAACAATGCGAGGAATGACACTGGAAAGGGAGGATAGGGGAGGGGAAGCCCTCCAACTCCAGACGCGAGCACTGAGGCACGGTGCATGGAGGGGAAGACGGGGGGGGGGGGGGGGGGAGAAAACTTTAAACAGAACCACTGAAGCATGATGGAGGGGTGGAAACGGGAGGTGATCTGGAGTACCAATTGAATTAAGAGCATTGTGGAGGCGTGGATGACGGAGAAGGTGAAGAGGAGCTCTTGAGCGAGAATTCCGCGAGGCGATATGGGGCACGTGGCGCGAGAGACGGTGGCGCCGCCGCACGCACACACCTTGTTGTAGTCGTCCTCCGAGGTGAAGCGCTCCTTCTGGATGCGCGTCATGTAGAGTACGTCCGTGTCGGGCATGGCCTCCTCAATGCTGCCCAACTCCACCTGCCGGGGGGGGGGGGGGGGGGGGGGGGCGGCGTTCACGAGAGACCCGGCTCGTCAGATACAGCTCCACCGACTCAAATCCGGCCAGTGCGCGTGTGCAGCTGTTTGCGCATGTGACGTGCAGATGTCTAAACGTGCAGGTGCGTGTGGAACTCTTATGGGCAGGTGCAGTGCAGCAATTGGCACGCCACGCTTCGAACCCTTTGGACCCGAGTTAAATTCCCCCTCACGGCCGACACGAGTTACGATTATGTGAACTGGTTCTGGGCCTCCCCTAAAATAAGTACCTGGTGACATGTGTAAACATCGCGGCCAGGCGAAGTGCTGGCCACCAACCCACTCGTGTGCCGTGCCGGCTTTCATTAGGCGTTCGATAACGGCACTTGGCCCAACAGTCTGGTACAGGCTATACGGCGGATCTTTGTCCGCGCATACCTGCTTGATGCCCTTGCTGGCGAGCGACTGCACGATGCGGGGTGGCATGCGCAGGCTTGGGGGCGACACGTACTGCAGCGTGACGCGGTAGAGCGCGAGCAGCTTCGCCAGCGAGTGAACCGTGCGCCCGTGCTTCAGGTCTCCCACCATGGTGATCTTTCCGGCAACACAGGGAGAAAGAGACGCGACACCCGAGCTTTACTCCCCACCTCCTCCAGAACTTTATCCCAAGCCACGCTCAGAACGACTCTAGGCGTGTGCAGGGTGGGGGACTCCAGCCGGACGTACAGTCATGCCGTTGATGGTGCCCAGCTCCTCGCGGATGGTGAAGATGTCGAGCAGCGCCTGCGTCGGGTGCTCCCCAACGCCGTCGCCCGCATTGATGACCGGGTGCCGGCTGTTCTTGGCCGCCATCTGCACATGGAGGGAGACGCAGTGGTGGTGATGGAGTCAAACCGTACCCCGACTTGGCCGCGTCTCTTATACAAATATCGGCATACGGTTACACCGGCAGAATTCGTACGCAGCACTGCTCTGCGTACCATTACCCTCACCAGACTTGATAGTATAACACCAACCCACACTGCGATCCCACGAATCACAGTGTGCATATGCAGGGTGAGCATAAAGTCCCGATTACGCCTTTACAACTGCGAGCCCGGGGGATCGGTGTACAGGGGACTTCCTGTACAACAGCACAGCCCTACACTTCATTCCAATGGCCAGCCTCTTACCAAAAAATTCCAAGCTGAACCTTAGTCCTCAACACACCAAACCCCCCACACCTTAAACCCAACATCGTAAACCCCAGTACCCGGGTGGTGTGCATTTAACAGGGTCAGAGAGCTCCGATGGGGCGAGCAGGCTGTGAATGAATGAGCGAGCGATGCGGCCCCCACCTCAACGGCACCGGGAGCTGGGTGGCGCAGGACGAGCACGTCGGCGTAGCAGGACATGGTGGTGACGGAGTCGGCGAGCGACTCTCCCTTCTGCGCGGAGGAGGTGGCCTCGGAGAAGGTGATGACGCTGCCGCCCAGGCGCTGCATGGCGGCCGTGAACGAGCTGCTGGTGCGCGTGCTCGCCTCGTAGAACATGCACGCCATCACCTTGCCCTGCGCGCGCAGACGCACCCCGCAAAGCGCAGTTATCGCCGGTGCCAAGACACGTGGAAATCGTCGCTAACACCACCAGGGTCGCAAAAAGTGTCCCACCAATGGCAACACCATCATCATTATTGTTATCCCCGCCACCAGCAACATCAGCAGCATCACCACCCTCTGTACAAAAGCTAACATCATCATCGGCACTATCATCTGTACCACAGCCATTGTTATCTTAACCACCACCACCAGATCCATTCCCACCATAATTGGTAACGCCAACAGGACCATCATTTACCCTCACCGACGCCATCATCATCAATACCAATTATCAACCAAAGACAAATATCACCAATGTAGCCACACAGCTTTTTCTAGATTTGAAGCCTTCGTGACTGCAAGGATTCACTCTGGTTTTTTTTCGGTAAAGTCATGTAGATTAAAAATAAAAGAAAACTAAATTAAATCAATTTAATTTACATAAATGTAAACTAAATCACAATTTAATTTAGTTGGTTTTCATTTTTATTTTTTTACCTACGTGACTTTACCGAAAAAAAACCAAAGACCATAGAGGTGTCTGTGGCAGTTGCTGTTAGAGGACCGACTAAGGCCAGAAATATCCACGATGGGATCGTGTAGCCACAGCATTGATGTCCGCCCACCTCTATCTCCAACACTGTACACACCGCATACTGCACAATTAAGGCCGAGACGAACTAGGGATGCCCGCTGATAATCACCGACGTTAGTCGTGACCGGAATTGAACATTGTTCGCCGGGTTTGTACCAGAGTACTTACCACTGTGCCACTATTACCCATAAAATGAACATCATTTAAATGTGATAACCACTACCACAATCACCACATTGACATGATTTGCCCGCCCGCCATCCCACCTTGAGCACGGAGTCGAGGCTGCGGTCCTTCTGAACCATCATGCGCATGTGGTGAGCGACGTTCATCATATGCGACAGCTGCAACACAAGGGGGGACAACAACCGCTCATTCATCGAGCGCCGGGGTTGGGACGATGTCACACCAGGGCCAACTTGGCAAGCGCCATCATCTTGGGCCCCACAACCTTGCCTCCCCCTCGTTGTGACCGGTACAACAAACAGGCTGCTACACACGTGTCCTTCACCAATGGAAAATTAAAGAACAAGCCCCAGTGCGACTTTGGCCTTGCAACGCAAACTACAAACCATATAAAGTAAACCACTGTAGCCTGCACTCCCCTTCAACGGAGGAGAAATAGCAAAACGACACAAACCCTCTCCTGTAGCCCTCTCAGTGGCTTGCAGGCATCAACATTTAGCTCCTGAACACTGGCATTAGTGGTTCTGTTCTCGCTTATCTATACCTAGTCTGCAGGTTCTCATCTCCCTCTGTTTATCTCTGTCATCTCACTAAAATGTCTCTCAGTAAGCCGTATCTCTTGGCACGTCATAGCTCTGCATGCCACTCCAAGAGCCTTTTCATGGGCCACCCACGGGCCGCCAGTTTAAGAACCTTGCTGTACCACTGGCGTACAAGTTGTCAAAGCTGCTCATCGTGAACAATGTTTCCGACGAAGACTGCCGACTACGATCGCAGTTACATTTCCCCCCCCCCCCCGAGCATCGTGGGTTAAAAAAAAAAAAGACGCTCTCCACTGTCCCCCGAGCCCACCTGATCCTTGGAGAACTGCCGCACGGAGAGGATGTGCTGGCCCGTGAGGCCGTGCGTGGCCGCCGTGGCCGCCTGGTGCGGGGATACGGAAGAGGGAGGCCCTGCGGCGGCCAGCGACGGGTGCTGCGGGGACAGGGTGAGGCGAGGCAGGGTGGAGGTCGTCGGCAACGCCGCCGCTCCGCCGTCTGGAAAGAGGATGTGCTCTGGGGAGTGGGCGGGGGAGGTTCAAGGGGAGGTTGTGATTAATGGGGATGGAATGGGAGTGGAGAGAGATGACCGTGACAGACAATGGTGAACAGGTACGAAACGTTATTTGGAAAAAAAAGGTCAAGGAGGGCCAAAGTCACATTTTAAAAATGGAGGTTATGGTTTTTGGGCAATTGTAACCCGAGATTTGAAGCTTTCGTGACTGCAAGGATTCATACTCTTTGGGTTTTATTCGGTTAAGTCACATAGATAAAATAAAACAAAATAAAACAATTAAATCACGACGTTTCGGAGGCAACACAAGCTTCCGTCTTCAGGTGGAAAAGTCAACGCAGAATATCTGTGTCAGGAGCACAGTTCAGAGACGACCGTCGACCATCTCTGACTGTGCTCCTGACACAGATATTCTGCGTTGACTTTTCCACCTGAAGACGGAAGCTTGTGTTGCCTCCGAAACGTCGTGATTTAATTGTTTTATTTCATCTACGTGACTTTACCGAATAAAACCAAAGAGTACAATTGTAACCCGATTGTGCTATCGGCATCGTGCCATGAAATGAAGGACCCATGAGCAATGCTTTGCCCAGTGTTTGAGAATGGCCGGTGGAAGGAGCTATCACAGAACTACTTCTGAGATCGCTTCAAGTGACCTCTAATCCACAAGCACTACGCGGAAGCACTTACCACCCACGAGCCCTGCTCCAGAGAAATGTTGGTAGCATGGAAGTTGAGCTCATATACCTGGAATATTGTCGAGTGAAAAGTAAAATGAACAAGCCACTGGAAAGCTTTAAATCGAAATTTAAAGCCATTGGAAGGCTGGGCTAAGGACCACCAAATGTTAACCCTTGAGAGCACGGTTTAAACCACTCATCATTGGAATTAGCATTCAAACCGTCAAATGTTCTGTATGCAAATAGCTTTTCTAAAGCTCCAGAGCAACCCGGCCACCTCTCTCTTTAGTCAAACAATACGACATATTTGTATGCAGGAAGAGCAAATACCACAGAAGGGTAAAATAAAGCCAGACAAAAAAGCAAGAGATTGGAAAAGTCAAAACAGCAAGTCAAGGATGTTAAAACAGATCCAGTAAGTAAAACAGAAGCCAGTTATAAAAGCACGGTAATTTCCCCCCCCCCCCCCATTAGATTCGACACGTTAATGCAAACAGTCCCATGCACGAAATACCACTGCCCCTGACAATCATGAGAATGGCTTAAGTTGAATTCAAGGATGATGCATGGCCAACCTTTTAAAAAAAAACTGTATGTAATTTACAACTTGGACTCAAACTGGGCAGGCAAGTTCACAGCACCTGAGCCGAGTTCTCGAGAGACAACATGATCGAAGGATACATTCTTTTAAACTAGAGTGGTCAATGTGCCGACTATATTAGTACAAACCCATCAGCATTTACTTACGGTGGTATCACAAAATGATAAACATATATGGATTGGAAACGATAAGGCATGTAATGCATTCATCCTCTGGCGATTCTATGAATTTGTCAGGAGTAGGGGGTCACAATTCCATTCAATAATTATTTTCCTCCACCTTCCTGTTTCGTTTGCACAGTCCTGATCCACTCCATTAGCCGGAATGGCACAATATCAGGTCGCAAACATCGTAAATGAATAGATTCTCACGCACACCATTCGACACATGCAACGTGAGCCTAAGAATCTATTGAAAAAAATTATCTGGCGAATCGTTACATCCCTACGTGGCTCCCCACGTCAGGAGGGAGCGTGGCTTTTGTTACGAGGCCGCACCAGCCAGGGAGGGAGCGATCGGGTGAGCGGGAAGAGAGGGTAGTGGGGGGGGTGGCGGTGGCGACGTGGCACAAGTACCAATTTTGGGCAGCTCCTGCTCACAGGGTTTCGTGACGCTCCGCTCCTTGGTGTCGCCGTCAACTGCGCGGGCACGATGCGGCGACACGACGACCGTTATTTCATGCTACCGGGTGGCATCGCCGGGAAGCAACAGGTGCCACCATATACACCAGGGCTGGGTGGTCGGATCAAATCATGATGATGATGATGATCACGAAGATTACGACGATGTTTTGACATGAGCGCTAGCCAATTTGTGAGAATTTGAAAAGGTGCTGCAGCACCAAAGTGGCGGACGTACTCGAAAGTAAATATCAAAACGACAATGGATGGTTGGGGTTAAAAGGTTGTGCTACAGACAATTAGATACCATGTAATTTGTTTAAAATGCAACACCTCTGCCGACTCATGATTGGTTGGCGGTTTGGAAGGCACCATTCGTTGACAGTGTAATTGAGCAAATGTTTTGAAAGATCACAACCTATTGGTTGGTTAATGAAATTGAGATACCTAACCCACGATTAGATGGTGGTAAAGATAGCCAATTCCTGATTGGATGATAATTAAAGGCGCTCCCTCAAAATTGACCGATAGGAACTACTCGCTCGCAATTGGTTATTGGTTTTCAAAAGCTCAATTCTGACGAGTTGATAGTGGCAACAGTGAACAGGATTGATTTATAGAAAATACAATAACATGATGCAAATCCACCCTTAATTGGTGCTATTGAACAGATAGATCGCAAATGGTTTTCATTGCAGTCCCATTTTACGTGAGTCCATCACAACAAATGCTGCATTAATGATCGTCTTTTCGAGTAAAATGTTTGGTTCACGAATATTTACACCCCTTGTGTATAGACTGACACTTGTGCATGTTAAATCACACATTGACAGTGCCCGTTAACAATGAACATTAAAACTAAATAACCAATTTCATTTACAAGCTAGACAATTCAAAAAGCAGAGTTCATCATTAAGAGGCAAACGGAAACGTCAACATTCATCGTGCAAAACACAAACGGGTAGTGTGGTCCAACGCCATCATCTGAAGCTACAGCCTCTGTTGCCATGGTTTCTGTTACCAAGGCTTTTGTTACCATGGTCCCATTATCATGGCATTCGTAAGAATGCCGTGGTTTCAGTTTAATCGAATGTTAAGACGTCTCGGTCAGCATTAATTGAACAAAAAATAAGTGGGCCAATTCAAGCATTGGCACAGCGCTCATCTCCAACGGCATTACCGAGCCTGTGGTGGAAATTCCACATTTCCATGGCAGGCGGCCACTCCCCACAGGACGTTCCACTGTTGACTTCTACACACAAATTTGGGATAAATATCAGCCTTGCTGGAAGGTACGAGTCGACGACAAGGATATACAGGGAGCCAACAATGTTTGTCGCCAAGGAGAGACCGGCCCTCGACATGGTCATGTGGCATTTACACAACAACTGGCTTGGCCACCGGATGGACGCGAGCACCGCCCCACGCTCGTTTCAGGTGGGGAAAACACGACATTTCTTTTTAACGAGATGCACAAAACAAACGCTCAGAGGCTATTTCAGAAGACGGAGAAAATCTCGATAAAAAACCCCGACGAGAGATTAAAGCACAGCAATTTTTTTAAAAGTCAAAAACAATTAAACAAAAGTGAATTAATGAACGACAAGACAAAACTTCATACACAAACAAGCAAACAGCAAATTAATAAATGGACGAGAAAACAAGCAGAGAGACAAATAAGCAATTAAAAAAATTGCACAACTCGTGCATGTGTGCATGGTGCATTTGGGGAAGGGGAACGGTTTCAAATATCTGATTGGGCGATGGGTCTCCAGCGATGTGATGGGGTTTACCAGGAAGGAGGGAGCCTGGATCGGATGAGCGGTGGACGCGGGGGGGTAACTGCATCCTCACGGCACGACGGGGGCTCATGGGAGCCACCTGATGGAAAGACAAATCGATAAGTGTGTTAACGAGGTTATCTGCCATCATCTAAAGTTCAATGTTAATGTGCCATTTTATTGAGGGACTTATCTTGGTGTGGTCTGAGACTGTTTCGTTGTTGGTTTTTGCCGCTTTGCCCAAGCTTGATAAAATCACTCGTAAAAAAAAAAGTGTGACTTACTTGCCCTTTCCTCTATTTTGCACTCATATCCTTTGTTTGCTGTTGTAACTTGCTGACGTGCCCCATGCAGGACATGCGTTTAAAAAGAGCTTCGTAGCTCATCGGATTCCTCTAGTCTAAAAAAACATTGCGATTCTGATTGTCGTCAACCATCCACCAACTGGATGAAAGCCTCTGCCGCTAGCGGTCGCCATCTCTCGTGGGCCCCTGCAATGCTACAAAACCCATTGTGCTCTTGGACATGAGCCGATTTTAAATTGCTCCATCTCTGCGTTCCCTTCTCCATCGTTAATCTCAACCACCAGTCATCCCTGCCAGTGAAGTGTCCCGCCCAAGTCCACTGAACTTGCCTTTCTCAACAAAAGCTCTGTTCTGTGTGGACAATCACTTTTTTGTGGGTTATTTTTTTTTATGAACCCCCCCGCTCTCTTAATTCATGTTTTATTTTATTATCGTCAACTCGTCTTGCCAAGCTCGGCAACAGCAGCTTCACCAACACCACCGTCGAGTCCAGTCAGGGGGGGCCCGCTCATTGATATCGTGCGACACGGTCTGTCGCACACTCCATCTTGATGGGGCCAACGTGCCCACCAGCTTGGCCTCAGGGTAAGGAGTTGGCTGCACATGGACCCTGGCCGGTACAGAACCTGTGCAGCAGGCCACATGACCGGTGTGAGACATTCAGGGTGAGGAAATGGCTTGTTTTGGCGAGGATCGGGGAAACTCACCTTGGTAGGTGGGAGGACGTTGGCAGAGGGACAGGCGGCGGGAGCAGCGACACCAGCAACGGCCGCGGTGATGACGGTGGCGGCGGCCGCGGAGGCAGCCAAGGGGGCCATCGGCCATGCCGCCCGCACGTCCTTCCCAAACCCTGGCGGCACCAACACCTACGCACGTGGCCCCAGCGGTGGGTCAGAGCCTTCGAGGCTGCAGTGACGTTGCTACAGCTTCCGTCATCGCAGACGGCGGCGTGCGTTTCCGTGTCTAACACCAAGCACGTTCGTGCTCACACAATTACAGCCGTGAGCCAAATATTGGTTCGACCCCCACGTAATCAAAATCTCCAAAGCAGGACGACGTGTGGGAATGTGCAGTGCACGGTGCGCCCTCGTTTCATGTAGAAGTTCCGACTGACACTTCATCTCACGACGAGACGCCGATAGCCCAAAAGGAAAAAAAAAAAGATTACAACAAAATTAACTGCCACCAGCAAATTGCTCCCCTGCCGCCCACTTGCCCGCCCGCCTACCGACCCACCTGCCCATCGATGTAGGCCACCTCCCCCCGCAGCACCACACGTCGCACCACTCCCTTCACCCTGCGCCCCGCAAATGGAGTCCAGCGCGACTTGGTGAAGCGCATGTGCTCAGGGATCACCCACTCCTGGTCCAAGTCCACCTACGCAGGAGCGGAGAGTCGGGAAGAAACGACGCCTTAGCGAGTGAAGAGGCAGCATGTGCATCAAGGGAGCCCGTTTTTGGACTACTCATTGCTGGGCCTTGGGAATATTATATCCCGCTGTACAAACGTCCTATCTTCTCCCTTCGGAGGGCACGAGGTTCTTCTTGGGTCACAAGCAATCGCGAGCCGTTAGTTACTGCCCTTCCCATACTTTGACAAAAACTACAAAATCCTGAAACCAATTTACTGTAAAACTCACCACACAACTTACAAACAATGCCCAGATCTGCGTAGTTATTAGGCAAAACTGGAAATTCAATTATTTCATAAAACATATTTTAGAGGAATAAACAAAACCCCCACATTATCCTGTGAAACCAACGCGATTACTGTGCTTGCGTTAGAATCTTTAGTAATTACCGATTCGCCTCCCTCCGAAATTCAATAAGTTGCTGTGACGGGATTCAAGAAGAATCTATTCTTTTCTAAACATTTCTGCAAAGGGCAGCGCCTATGGTGGCAGCACAGGTGACGCGAATCCACTTGCATAAGGGCACACACAGACACAAATTTGAACGGCATCGATTCTTACACACGCCCATTCATTGGCCACATTGCGAGCGCGAGAATCAACATCAAAATCGACGTTCATTGGCGCGTCGTTAACACCGTCAGCAGCGGCTGCTGCCGTTTGGCGGCCATGGGACACGGTGCTGGTGAAACAGAGGTGGTGTCAAGTTGCTTGCTCGCTCACCTCCACGTAGGTGTCCTCCTGCTTGGGCAGGTTGAAGATGCGGCGGGGGTTGTCATGGAGACGGGCCACGAGGTCGTCGATCGTGAGTCGCCCCTCACCCACGGCCGTGAGCAGCAGCGGCAGCATCGTCTCGAGGCCCGGGAAGCCTGGGGGCGGCGACGCGCCATCCTTCTCCTGCACCGCGTGCGGAGCTGTGACAGCCACGGGTCCAGGGGGCGGTTGAGGGTTAATCCATGACGGACGAGGATTGAGGAAGGCTCAAGAGTGGGTCGTGGGGAAGGGTGTGCAGGTCAGGGGTTCGAGTAATGAAGGAGAGGTCAGGGGAGTGGGGTGAAGGGCGAGCAGAAAATATCAAGGGGTTGAGTAGTGAGGGTTGAATGCTGAAGGCCAGTGAGGGTGTCGTCACCATCAACTCCAAAACCAACATTCATTATCACCACCATCGTTGTCATCCAACTGCCAGTCAGCACTAAAATGCACAAACCGTGGTCCGTAGCGAAGCAGTCGATGATGTCCATGTTCTCCCACAGCGCCTCCATGTCTTCTCGCGTGCTCAGCTCTGGCCGAACCTGACCCCGGCCTTGACCTATGACCTCCAGGTCGTCCTGGCACAGGAAGAGGTGGTGTGGAGCCACCTCGCAGGTGACCTCCAGCCCACTCTCCTTGGCGGCGCGGATGAGTAGGATCTGCAGCAAATGCGGCGTGGTAGAAGAAAAGAATCAGGAAGTCAATCGGTCAGTCTAAACGGTCAAATCACTCAGTCGATCGTTGTGAAGGCTATCCGCGAATCGCATCTGGAACTTAACACGACTGCATCGAGAGAGGGAAAGGAAGTTTTGAAATAAAGTCATGCGAGAGAATGTGATGAGATAGTAATGGTTAAAGAAAGTTCATTCATAAACTATTTAATACCACAATATTTATTTTAATTTGCTTAATGTTTATTAAGAAAAATTTTGTTCATGTTAATGATGCTAATTTTCATTTCATATCTCGTGTATTTCATTAATCCGCAAAATGTTCTATTCACGAGCATCTTCGGAACGAATCCCTCGCTAATAACGAGGAGTACTTTCACAGCAAACAAACTAAAAAATGACAGCGATGACAACGACCAAACACGCCCCCCCCCCCGCCTCCCGACTCCGCACCTCTTCCTTGCGGGCGACGTGGCACACGTGCACCGAACGCTTGTGCAGCTGCGCTACCATGAGCACTGCCGCCACCGTCTGCCTCTCGGCATGCACCGCGATCACGCGGTCCCGCGGCCAGCTCTCGAAGTGCTGCACCACGGCACGCGGAGACGCACACAAACAACCTCGTGGCGGACACGCGCTCGCTGCAATGCGTGCAAGTACGATCAATTAGTTATTACCCAGGCAACACTCGGAAATATTTCGCAGAATCGCACTCGCTCAAGTACAAATGCTCAATCATATATCTGCACGCACACAATCATTCCGACACACACACTAGACAATACACCTGCACAAACATCGACACAAAGGTATGTACCACTCATAAAGACCCATATAGCCTTTTAACAAACTGTTGGGGCAAGTCCTGAAGGCCGGCAACACAGCACACCATGGGGGTGGGGTGGCAGACACCATGCCTGGTCCACTTTTGTCTCTCCAGCGCCGTTTACACACTACACCAGGTACTCATTTAAGGCCAAGTCCACCAAGGGGAGGCCAATGACCGGTTCAAATATTTACCACCGATATTGGTCCTGAGCGAGTATCGAACCTCGGAATCGCTGGATTCGTAGTGCATTATACCAGAACCACTACACAACCGTTCCCCACCTAAACCGCACACACACACACACAATCATAACTCCACATACATACTCAACAACGCACACGCGAAAACACTCCTCCCTGACCGCTTGTATTGACGCCATCGTGCGAAAGCAGCAGCCTCACCTGCATCCAGTGCGCCATGTTGTCGAGCCGCAGGGCGGAGTACGTCTCGTTGAGGTACATCTTAAGGCCGGCGGTGGCGCCGCTCAGATCGCGCACGGACGCCGCGTTCTCCACCGAGGCGCCGGCGAACAGCGCATAGTCGCAGCGAGCGCCGGCGCGAGCCGCCTGCCATGCCGCGATAAACAATCGATATCATCAAGTCAATCATTCGTTCGTTGTTCGCTTCGTGATCATTATACCAACTTAGAGGATCGATGACGATCACTCGTGGGCACAAGCCCGCACACGGTCAGTAACGGTGCATCCAGCATCAGCTGTGCGTGGCACCTCGAGAAGGCGACACCGGAGCGGATGATCGAGGCGTCGTCTCCTCTTTGCCAGACGCAGTTCGCGTTCCGAGTCTGTGCTCGTCATCAATAATAACAACGGTGATCGTGGTAGTGAGTTGTCAGATGCCCCACCACCACTCGAGAAACGATTGTTTTTTGTGTACCGCCTCCTTTGTATGGCATCTCGATTGTGCCATGTTGCTTGTAAATCTTGTTGATAAACTCAACTATAACATCCGCATGTGATTGGCATACCTTTACAAATAATTGTAGCAAGACATGAGCTTAGCAGACCTATGCCAGACCAGTCCGGCAGGATCTCCACACTTGCACGACTGCCTCCATGGTGTCAAACGTGTTTGTGCGCACGCAAGCGTATATGTGAGTATTGAGGTTTTTGCGTTGATCATGTGCACTACAGACACGCCAGAGACAAAACAGACCCTGGCACATGGTCGGATATTCTTATTTGCGCTGCAGCCGCCCCCTTTTCTCCTGAGTCAGGCTGGGCTCTTCGCCGATCGTAGCTCAAGGCCGACCCACCTTCTGCACGACGGCGAGCGAGTCGAGGTCGGTGACCGCGGGGTTCGTGTTGGGCATGGCGCACACGAGCGTCACGCCACCGGCCAGCGCCGCCGCCGTGCCCGAGCAGAAGTCCTCCTTATGCTCGCCGCCCGGCTCCCGCAGGTGCACGTGCACGTCCATGAGGCCTGATTGGAGGGGGCGAGGAGCAGCAGCAACAACGTGGCGCAGCGAACATGGCAACATGCGTTTGATAGAACGAAGTTTTAACACAACCTCAAAATGTGGCCAAATCTCCGGACGCCACTTCTGTCGTGGCCAAAAGGTCCTCTCCGTGACAGAAGTGACCGGAGCGTGCTAACATTAGAAACGCGGCAGTACCAGGTCGGGAAAAATGTCCTCCGGTGTCCAATTAGTGCAACCAAGATGCTGGACAATCATCGTTTGCAGGCCGTTTAGAGAAGTGGTAGGACTCGTGTGGCCGTGAGCCCCTGGGTCGTAGGTTTTCCCTCCGCTGGTGTGAAGATGGATGCGAGCCATATCTAATGAAGGAGGCCTGTGAAGGACGCTACTGGTCAATTGGAAGCAGTCGCCCTTCAACTACAACGGAGGACAGAGTAGCGACGCTCAGAACAACGAGCAGAGTGCCGGGTGGCTAAAATACAGGAAGAGTTGGCACAGTAGGGGGCCAAAGCTGGTGCATCTGCCAGTCATCCGAACCAGTCAACCCATGGCACCTGGGTCTGTCCCGTGACCTCCTGTCAGCGAGCCTTCGACACTTCACGTGGCCTCAAAGTGCACCTGGCCTGGCACAGGCGCCGTGGTGACGTCATTGTCAAAGTGGCAAATGGCGGCAGTTGGTATTGCGAGCCGGAGGAGGGAAGGAGTTGGCAGGACGTGAGCGGGGGCGGCACCTGGGAGCCTGACGATCCTCTGTGCGGTCATGCTGTCCACGTGCGTCTTGACCCGGGGGGCTCCGCCAATCAGACGCAGCGCCTGGGAGGGGTCAGGGGTTGCAAGCAGGAAGTTGCGGTTAGCCGGCAGCGGTGTTTCTCCTCAGAGTGGTGCATGTACGTGTCCCCGTGCGCTCCGGGTTCCCACCATGTACAGCGTTATTTCACAGCAGGTAAGTAACAGTTGACGATTCAGTAATTAAAGTAAATTAATATGCTCATGTTGCATGCGTTAAATTGCACATTTAAATTAGTTTCATCACTTCATGTACTCAAATTGCATGTGGTGCGGAGGCAGCGTTCGTTAATGTATTGAGCTATGATTGCAAGAGACCGATTTTGATTTCCAGTCACGGCTAACATCAGTGGCAAACGATATCTGAACTGGTCCTGCCTGTGCCACCCTCCCTGCCCTCTACTCCCTCCACCGACTAATCCAACACTTACCAGCGTGGTCCACGTGATCCCGTCAACCCCCAGCGTCACCCAATCCCATCATCATACCTACCGACATCATCGCTGTCACGATCAACATCAGCGCCTTACAAATAAATCAAAATTATTATCAGTATCGTCTTCGTCTCACCTCGACGAACAGCTTGGTGCACTTGATATCGGTGATGAGCGGAACGGAATAGTCCACGGCCATGCGGCGCGTGCGGTACCCGCGCGTCACGAACGACGAGAGGCGACGCCCGCCAGCGTTGCGCATGGGGAGGTTGATGACGAGGTGGAAGTGATTCTCGGCCAGGTAGTCTAGGATCGAGCGCTGCTTCTCCCCGCCATCGCCACCCTCGGCGTCCTCAAAGTGCCAGTCCACGGCGCGCACCTGCGTGGCGGATGTGACCAGGAGAATGAGATTATTCCAACAGGAGGTGAACGGGATGGCTCGGGGTGGTGTGGGGGGGGGGTTGGAGACAGAGCCATTGCCACCGACATCCTGGGTTAAAATTCAGCTTTCTGCGTCTATGTAGGAGGGCAAGTGTCTGTGGGGAGCGTTGGCGCAGCGGTTAATACGCTGCGCTACGAATCCCGGCGACCAGAGTTCGAATAATATTTGAACCGGTCTTGGGCCTCCACCCTAGGTTGAATCCACCTTAAACGAGTACCTACTATGTGCGAGCATCAGCGCTGGGAAGACAAAGGCAGCCTGGCGTGGTGTTGGCCACCCACCCTCTAGTGTGCTGTGTCAGCCTTCATAGTTGCTGGCTCACGGCACTTGCTCCAATAGGCAACAAGGTGGCGAGCTGTTAACTGCCTCGTCTGGTATATAGGAAGTTGTGGGTTTGATCCTGACACTGATGCCTGTATATTTGAAGTTTGCATGTTCTCCCCGTGGTAGAGTGAATTTTCCCTCTGGGTCCTCCAGTTTTTCCCTCCAGATTTAGAATCAACATGCGTTTAGAAAATTTGGCTGCTATAAATTTCTACATAAGCCACTTCGTCAAGCCATCATGTGATCGCCAGGTCACTTCTGAAAAATAACTATATAGCTTAGTGGGCCTTACCTGGCAAAATAGATTGTTTGTCGTTGTTCATGTAGACGTGTGGGGGCATGAGAGCACCACTGAAATCCGGTGTTCAAATACAGGTTTCAGGCGCTATGTAGGGTGGGATAGCGCCTGTGTGTCCATGCGTCCATGTGAGAATGTATGCATGAGTTTCAAAGTCAAAGAGCATCTGTGCCTCACATTTTTTTCACGAGAGCTTCCAAATTCCTGACCCGATTGTCAACAAAACACTGCACGACTCCCAATAACGTTACCCAGATGTTTCGTTTTGGGCCAAACTGCCAATAAAATACTTTTAAAAAGCATTCATTAAATAAAGTTATGCTGGTGCGAGAGCAGAATTAGGGTGGCGTGCTTGAGACCGAGCATTGTGGAAGCCAGCATAGCTGCCCAACACAGGCGTCCCGGTTAATTTCTGCAAGTACTGTGCACACATTTCACCCCTCCCCCCCTACGAATCAAATCTCCCAAGGCAGTAATAATCAACCTCAGTCCGAAACCCCGACCAATTGTTTCTAACATTATACAAAGTAAGTCATGGCACCCTGCAAGCACCTGATGGTTGGTTATCACGGACAGCCATAAAGTGGGGAGTGCTAGGACTAGTTTCGCAAGTACATAGAGACTCCTTTAATATACTGGCTTTGGAAGCTTCCATTGCCTTCTCGGCAGGCAGCTATTGTATGTACTGTACGCAGAATTTATTTCGCAACATACGTAGTCCAACAGTGCTAATAGGAGGTATGAATTATAATAATAAATAGGGAGATTTTTTTTTTAAATAAAAACACCACAGGGTGCGTTTCCAATTTGTGCTCTTACAACACTGTGAAACACAGGCAACTTCATTAAAACTATCACAATCACATTGTAACCGACGACAACAGTGCGTGTGGGGGAAGAACACACTCACGCTGCCGCAGCCCAAGCAGCTCCGCTCCTCCCATGCACGCACACGCCCTGTGTGTGGGATGTCTGCATCCGTGCGCCACCAGGCCACCCCGGGTTTTATATCTTCCCGAGGTCACATGAACTCATTGCTGGCAGCTGCCGACAATCCTCAATGAAAACGTGTTCCAACAGGACTTTTGTGCGGAAGCACCTGATGTTATAATCCGCAGGACAGGTTGATTCTAATCAACGGCAGATTGTCCTGCATGTGCTAATTCAGCAGCTGCAGTGATTGTTAATTTGTTTTCTGTCACGTTGAACTGAAACCTGTTTTACTTGTTTTTCCCTGCTCCACATGTTTTTCGCAAACATGTACAGGCGGAGTGCATATGGTTTAGGATTGTGGCCATGCACGATTCAATTGGGAGGTTGGTGAGATTATAGGTGTGTTTGTGTGTAGGTTGCAGGTGTATGTTTGGGTAGTGTTAGTGCAATGGTTCCGCAACCCGAGTTCGAGTCCCGCTTATGGCCAACACCAGTGGCGATTATCTTAATCGGTATTGGGCTTCCCTTAGGTCGACTCAGCCTTAAGAGTACCAGTTGCGTTGTGTAAATGTTGCCACTTGGGAGACAAAGGCTGTGCTGGCCACCCCACCCCCTCACGTGCTGTGCTGGCCTTCATAGGTGCTTGCTAATAGCACTCACTCGCCCCAACAGTCTGTGCTGGCTATACAGGAGATCGTTGTCTTTGTCTTGGGTTGGTGTGTGGGGAGTGTTTACGGGTCTGTCTTGTTGGTTGACCTGGGTTAGTGGCACATGTTGGTGTATGGCTTTATCTGACTCGGCGTATACTTTGGTATATGGGTTGGTGTTGGTGCATGTGGCCTCAGTGCCCTTAGCCTGGCTCAATCTCTGTGGTGATGTCACGCCACTGTGTAGTGAATGGCCGGTCGAGGTGGTGCGTGTTGCTATGTATCGGTGTATGGATTGCCGTGTGTGTGTGTGTGTGTATGGACTGCTGTGCGTTTATGCGCGAGTAAGCCGCGGTGTGGCGTGGCACCCACCTTGATGCCGTGCTCCGTGTAGAAGTCGGCGGTGCCCAGACTGGCGTACAACTGGAACCCGAGTTTCTCCAGGGTGCGCACCGTGGGGAGGAGCTCGCTTTTGTTCTGCAGGTGCAAGGCAGCAGCGAGCGGGTGGATGCGGCAGGTTAGCGCAGTCGGTGGCGGAAATCAAAGAAATCGGACATTTATTTATAACGACAATGTGCTTCCATTACACGAGGCAGGCCTCTTCACCTGGCTGAACAATAGAGGAGGATGAAAACATATTGAAGGTGAAATATAATGGACTTGTAAGAACTTAATAATGATGCGAATCAAATCAAATTTTCAGTGGCATCTTTACTTTGAATATAAGTATTTGTTGTTCTGGTTGTAACTATTCACCCATGGACAGAGTTTGTGGGGGAGGGGGGGGGGCAATGCCTCTCCCAAACTGGACACATTTATTAAAACAAATTCAGTAGGTTACAATTAAGATTAATACCTACTTTTTTAATATGCACCCGCGATTCCTCATGTGAGGGACAAAGTGAACTTCCCCAAACTCCACCTATGTATTCAACCCTTGCGATGCAATGAATTGTCTTAAAATCGACTGAAGAACGAATGCATCCTTTGTTTTTACCGTTGTAATAACGTTGTGATTGCCAGTGGCTGGAGGGGGTCGTGTGAGCCCATTGCATACGTTTACACGAATCGAAACATTGAGGCATTTTTAAGCGCTTACTTGTTTACTTGACTGACTTTTTCACCATTTATATTCACAGGCTAAGCAGGAGCACTTTCTTGCCTGTATTCCCAGCCAGGCTCGCAGGGCTGAGCCCCCAACGGTCACAAAGACCAGGGGAATTGAAGAAGCAGCAGAAGAAGAGGAGCAGCCTTCGCGCGTGCGTGACAAACCTTGTAGCTGCCGATTGAGAGCAAGATGTTCTCCTTGGGGATACGAAAGCCGGTGCTCAGCATGGCTTTGAGGTAGGCCTCATAGCGGTTCTCCCCGAAGCAGGCCACCTCACCCGTGCTTGTCATCTCCACGCCCAGCATGACGTCGGCACCCGCCAGCCGCGAAAACGAGAACTGCGGCACCTGGCGGAGAACGGTTACACGACGACAATGGCGGTGAAGATTTACCCAATAGGAGCGAGAGCATTGTCTTGTCGGGACAAAACTATAGTGCGGTACTATATACCCCGGTTTATGGTCGGGGATGCATTTTATGAAAGGTGCGATGATGAATGTTGAAACGATGCAAGTCGAAGCGATTGACAAGGGTAGGTGGAGGCGAAGGCTGAGAGGAGATGGATACAAGAAAAGGACAGCTGTCAGCGACGTGTGTGGTTTGAGGGCGATGCAAATCAGCTCATGGTAGTAATAAAGGTGACGACGTATTTGCGAAACGCCGCAAAAGGGGAAGAAGACGTAAATTAAATTCGGGTATTATTGTACAATGAAATAATAAGAGGAAATCGCTCGGTGGACGAACCTTGACTCCGACGATGCCGGTGCCCCTCAGCTCCACGGGTTCCACCTTCTCGCCCATTATCACCCGTGTCGCCATGGCAACCAGGTCCACGCCGAGCGTCTTTGAGACGAACGGGAAGGAGCGCGACACGCGCACGTTGCACTCGATCACCTTGAGCAGATTGTCCTGTCGGGCCCGGACAGACGGAGGGAGCAACGGCATCATCGCGAGTGTTCTGTTAGCAGGTTGTCATCATCAGCTTGATTATATATCGTCATCAGCCATGACTTGTATGTATTTTAAAATTATTTCACACCGTATGTAGCCAACCGTGCTAATCGGGAGGTGAAAGCTTCCACGATCTGTCGCCATCTCCCAGGGTCTCGAAAGGGTTAGTCGATTGGCTTGGCAATTCATCGCGGAGTAAAATGGTTATGGGGTTGGCGTTCGGGGTCAGGGCTAGGCTCTTGCCTTGGCGATGAGTTGCAGGTTGAAGGGGCCCGTGACCTGCAGCTCGCGGCCGATGGCCACCACGATGGCCTGGATGCGCTGCATGGTCTGGCGGTTGATGTCCTGGGCGGGCGATACGAGGGTCGCGTCGCCCGAGTGGACGCCGGCGTTCTCCACGTGCTCCGACACGGCCATGGCCACCACCTCGCCGTCGCACGCCACCGCGTCCACGTCCATTTCCTTCGCTCACCGTGATGATAAACAGTCACTCACGGCTCCTTCGTGGGATCCGCTGCTGGATGAACGCCTCTCAAGTGCCATAGCTCATCGTGTTGGTGGGTTAAGGGTCGGTTCAGGCATCGCTCGCCACCGAATGTTAGCTGTCGCGGTTACCGCACCCACTGGGTTACCGCACCCACTGGGTGCGGTAACCCAGTGGGTGGTTACCGCACCCACTGGGTGCGGTAACCGCCGTGCCGTCACCCGTCATAGACATGTGCCGGCTCCCGCAGCGCAGTGCGCCGACCACTACACGCACAACACAGTGAGCAAAGACGCCCCGTAGAGCCTTAACAGACTGTTGGGGTGAGTGCTGTTCGCGAGCACCTATTAAGGCCAGAACGGCACATGAAGAGGTGGGTGGTCGGCAGAACGCCTGGCCACCTTTGTCTCCTTGGCGATGATGTTTACACACCGTACTAGGGATTCATTTTAGGTCGAGTTGACCTGGGGAGGCCCAGGACCGGTTCAAATACTCATCACCGATGCTGGCCACGAGCGGGAATCGAACACAGCTCGCCGGGTTCGAAGCGCAGTGCTTTAAATCGCTACACTACCACTGCCAGTGGACACACATACACCACGCGTTAATAGGCATGCACACCCACATGCCTTCAATAACAAAGATCCCCTGTATAACCTTAACAGACGCTGGGGGTAAGTGCTGTTCAACACACACACGCACAGGCTCCGACACGTGCCACCCTCCTGCCCCCCGCACTGTTGTACTCCATTGCATCTGCGTTCATATTCTGCACAAGTGCGCATGTACGCAAACACGTAGACACACAGGTATGCATGCACACGTGTGCGTCTCAACACACATGCATATATTATTGCAAACGCACATTGTGTACTCTACATGCATACGTGAGAAAAAAAAAAAGGAGGCAATTGAAGGGACCTCAGAAGTAGTTGTGATGTCGCCTTCCCGAGGAAATTCTGTAACAAGGGGGGGTGTGGCGTTATTCCACTTTCTGCGAGCGTCCCGTGACAACATGGCATCCACAGCACAATTGAAGCAGAATTGGGGGGAAAGAAAAGAAAGAGCTTTTCACGGGCACTTCTCAAGGCATGGCATGGAGCACGAGGGGGCGATGTGGCAAGAACCATGCAAGGCCGCCTTCGTCTCCCCAGTGCCAATGTTTACACAGCGAACCAAGTGCTCGTTTAAGGAAATCTGCGATTCGATCTGTGGGATGCCCACTCGTGTTTCCTTGGCTGGAAATCCCAATCATGTCGCCGGAAGGCACAATCACTCTCATGCCGAGGGATTCAACAACGAATTCATCTTTACGAGCATAACGTTTCTTTTTTTTACTATTAGGGACTTACCCGATTAAAAACCTGGCCAAACTACCCCCTTACTCCGAAGTTTAAAATGAGAGGCGGAGAGGCCTGGGGACAGCAGCAGGTGGGGGGGGGGGGGGGACCTCCCCCCTCCCCGCCCCCCCAGCCCCTTTCCTATTTTTCCTTTCATCAGTTGAGTGGATGGGCCCAAGAAGGAGGAGAGGTTGTAACCCCACCTCATGATTTGCAGTGTCCCTTTTTCACCCCCTCCCCACACCTGATCTACCCCTAGAATGTTGGTTATGGTTTCCCCTCCCCCCCTCTCCTGCCCATGAGCACAAACTCCCACCCCCCCCCCCCCCTCAAGGTGGGCACTGAGCATGTTGTTCCCCCCCCCCATTCCTCGACTCGTGCAAGAGCTGGAAAACTCCCCTTTTCCCCTCGCAGTTTTTGGTCAGCCCCGGGGCGTCGCTCAGAGCCCTCGCGCGCACCTTGGCCTCCAGAATGAACTTCGAGATGACGACGGGGTACTCCTTTGACACGGCGACGGCGCTGTTCAGGAACGCCTCCAGGTCGTTGTCGGAGAGCGCCACGTTCATGGCAGCGCCGCTCAGCACGTAGGACGGGCGCACAAGGCACGGGTAGCCCACGTTGGCGCAAAACTCCTTGGCGGACTGGCGAGCACGTCAACGCGGACAATCGGGGGAAGCGCGGTCAAGCGGAAAGGTGAAGGACAGTGTTATTTACACGTCAAATTGAGTACGCAACAAAGACACTCATTCTTACGCATCTATTACATGGCCAACTGGACACACAATGAATCTCATAATAAACTTCACACTCGTACGCACGCACACTAAAGGCAAAGATCCTCCCCCCGTAGAGCTGTGCAGATTGTTGAGGATGTTAGCAAGCAACTATTCAGGGTGGCATGGCACCTGAAGAAGTATTGTGGTCAGCACCATGACCAGCAACCTGTCTCTCCAGCCACATATTTACACACTCGACCCACGAAACAAAGACAAACATCCTCATATAGTCCTTAACAGACTGTTGGGGGAAATGCTGTTAGAAATCACCTGTACAAGTGATGATACACAAGGTGGGAAAGCACCATGCCCATCTGCCTTCATCTCGAAAAAAGTGCTGATGTTTACACACCGAACCCAGTGCTCATTTACGGTTGAGTTGACCTACGAATGGCGCAGGACCGGTTCCGATAGCTGCGAGCGGGATTCGAACTTGGGTCGCTGGGTTCGGAATGCACTACCCCAACAACTGCGCCCACCACTCGGCACTAACACACACAAACACACGCGCGCGGGCACGCCCCTTCAGCACCTTCAGGTCGGACAGCTCCTTCCAGAGAGGCTGGCTGATGCCGATGGAGTCGAGCATTCGCGAGAACTTGAATCGGTTCTCGGCGCCGTCGATGAACTCGGGCGAAGTGCCCAGGATGCGGCACTTCTGCCGGTGCAGCGCCATCGCGATGTTGTTGGGCAGCTGCCCGCCCATGCACAGGATCACGCCCTCTGGGTTCTCCAGCTCGTAGATGTCCATCACGGTCTGGTGCCATGGGCAGTGCGGGACAGGTCACAGTGATGAGGTCGACAGGACCAAGTGTTGATGTTGCACAATATCATCGCTTTCTTCCTTATGCCAGAACCCGCAGCGCTTGCTGGGTGTGTCCGGCAGTCCTGGAAGTTCTAGGAGACCAGAAGCATGGCGGTCCAAGTCCCTGGTCTCCAAGAACTGCTCCGACAGTCTTATTGTCACCACCATCATCATATGGTAGGTCTTCCCCTTGGTCACAAACCTCTGGGGTGACATTGCATGGCTATGTACAGTGCGAAAGACGTTCAACATACATACACACATGTGAGAGATCGGGGGGGGGGGGGGGGAGGGAAAAGTCTCACTTCAAAGGAGATCTCTTCGAAGTAGAGTCGGTCGCACATATCATAGTCCGTGCTCACAGTCTCCGGGTTGCAGTTCACCATGATGGTTTTGTAGCCGAGCTGTTAAATCGGCCACGGGCAGAGAGACAAGGGCAACGTCACGAGGTCTTCGCGGGCAATGCAACGGACAGTGCCACCCAAAACACCCCACACACCAACGCTTTCCCTCCTTTAGTTGCGAAGTCGATGCCCGACCGCCAGGGTTAGGTCTCACAGTTGCTCAGCAACCGGTGCAAAAGAACCCTTACCCTATAATTCAAACTAAACAATAATTGCCACTAGTAATTCAAGGGCTAACACTTAAATCAGGTTAGACAGCGATGAGTAAGGATACTGACGAACATGCTGCAGAATGCTGTGTATGTCAAACAACATCAACTTCAAACAACATCAACTAAATAGCCGAAGGCCGTCGTCCCCCTTCCCCCGAGCTCCGTCGGACCTTGCGCAACTCTGTGATGCAGCCCACGGCGCACCAGTCGAACTCCACGCTGCTGCCGATGCGGTAGACGCCGGAGCCTAGCACGAGCACGTGGTCGGCGGGGAAGGAAATGTCGTGCTCGATGCCACCGTACGTCAGGTACAAGTAGTTGGTCTGCGCCGGCCACTCCCCCGCCACCGTGTCCACGCGCTTCACCCACGGCAAAACCTGCAGCTCCTTCCGCAGCTGCCGCACCGCCAGCTCCGTGCTGCGGGGGTGGTGGCGGCGACGATGGCAACAAATCGAAACGTCCGCACACAGCACTCGGCCACTCATTTAATCACTCGCGCACCCACGCATTAATTCACTCTGCGTTTTATGTTTAGTTCATTGGGTTGGCTACGTACGGTGCGAAAGAAGTTCAACATACGTGCATGCACTAAATCACTCGCGTTTCCATCCAACGACTTGCCAACTGAAATCACTCGCACAGCAATCTGTGCACCCGCTCACTCGCAAATTCAATCAATTATTCATGCACTCGCCCACCTCGCCAGCCCACCCACCCACCTCATGATGGCGCCGGCGATCTGCCGGTCTGAGAATCCGAGCTGTTTGGCACGCAGCAGCAGGCTGCGTGGCAGTGGGTGCTCCTGGTAGGCCTCGAGCGCTTGCCCGAGCACCGTGATTCCACGCATGCGGTGCAGGAACCAGCTGTCGATGCGTGTCAGCTCGTACAGTCGCTCCACCGAGTAGCCGGCACGCAGGGCCGCCGCCAGCACGAAGATCCGCTTATCCGTGGGCGTCTCCAGCTCCTGCGTGGGGAAAACGTGGCCGGGTGGTGCCGGGTTCAAGACAGAAGTGCCCAGCGGTGTTACAGCCTGCCACCTATGTGCGCGAATGTACTGTACAAGCTTCATCGGTGGATTTCGCACCGCCTCGCCTCGCCGCCATGTGACGGTGTTCCACAGGAACTGTACCTCGGGTTGTAACGATGCAATTATTTACCGATTTATTTAATGGTATGCATCGAATTGCCTTTACAAGAATGGATGTTTTTTTATTTGTATATGTTATATAGGTCACATTATTTCTGCAGCCACTAGAGGCGCTGTCATTCATTCTACATATCAAGAATTGTATGTCAACACAAGAGTCAAAGTTTGTCCACGCTTAAGGTGAGCACGGGCGGCTGAGTGGGCTGTGGTGGATGCTTCGAAAAATGCGGCTGCTATTCATTTTCATTCATAATGACAATGATGATGAGTAAAAGTCAGTCTCCTTTACTTAATCAGGAGATGAAGTAAACCCATTGAGATAAACAGAGCTTCCTTTTGCAAGGGTGAACCTGAGGCACATCACTGAAGCCGACGATACTGGAGGAGAGGGGGTCAGAGTCCTCACCTCGTCGGAGGCAGGTTTGAGCGTGTGGTCGAAGCCGCAGCAGTTCTCGTTGACCATGCGAAGCGCCTTCTGGAATGCCTCCTCGAAGCAACGGCCCACGGCCATCACCTCCCCTGCGGGCGGACAGCGCGCAGACGGCACCGGCCATTCGTGAAAACGCTCATGTACACTCATACATTCGTTGTGACTTGTTCCATCACCTGGTCATTCATTCAATCACTCACTCACTTCACCTGCTCACTCACTCAGCCATGTGCTCATGCAATCAACAATTAAGTGCCTAAAGTACTTGATCACTCGGTCCACCATGTGCTCACGTGCCAGCTTGCTCACGTGCCAGCTTGCTCACTTGCCTAGCACCTGCAACCTGACTCACTTGCTCACCTCGAGAACCTAAATATCCATGCACTCACTCACTCACCCGCCCGCCTATCAACACACACACGTGGGCACATTAAGCAACTGTGAGCACATATATATAATGTCGTGGTTAGCGTGCTGCGCTATGAACCCGGCGATCCAAATTAACATTCCGCTCAAAATTAATATCATTGATGAGGATCTCAACTGGTCCTGGGCCTCCCCCTAGGTCTCCACAGCCTCAAAATAGTATCAGGTGTGGTATATACACATCAGCACTCGAGAGACCAAGGCAGCAGAGCATGGTACTGACCACACCACCCCCCCCCGTGTGCAGTGACGGCCTTAATAAGTGCTCGTTAACAGTACTTGTCCCAACAGTCTGTGTGGCTATAACGGGAATTGTCGTCTTTGTGCGAGCATAAAAGTTCACTAAAAGTCACTTGCCCAACTAATGTTTAAAAGGCTACGGGGGATTTTTGTCTCTCATATGAGCGTGTGGATGTGTACACAGGTGTGTGGGTATGGGGGCCCATGCGTGCGTGTGCTGCCCACCGACGCTCTTCATGGAGGATCCGATCTTGGTGCTCACACGCAGGAACTTGCTCAGGTCCCAGCGCGGGACTTTCACCACCACGTAGTCCAGACTCGGCTCAAAGTTCGCCGTAGTCGAGCCGGTCACAGAGTTCCTGGAGGCGGCACCAACAAAACAATCTGGAGATGACAGACTAATGATTGCCGTGTCGGAGACACTGGAATGGCACCACTGAGAGCCTGGGTGGTTCCAATCTGGGCTTCCAAGTCACCCGTAATTAAGCAAGCTTGTCTGCAACATAGCGAGTTGACGGTCTCCAGCCTAAACACCAATTGACTGCATACAAAATGAAAAAGTCACACCCCCGAAGCTCAAACACTGAACAGCGTGCAAAGCAATATTCGAGCAACGGACATCACATTTCCCAGCTGTAAATGGGTTAAATCGGACTTCATGGAAATAACGGGGTTTTGTAAGAAAATGGATAATACCGGGGGGGGGGGGGGGGGGGGGGGGGGGGCGGTGGGGGGGCCCACTTCTGAATTTTCCGGGATTTCGAGGACACTGCTGCATTGTTAGGAGTGCAGGGCAACGCACCTGAGCGTAGGCAAGGGGATGCCAAGCGCCAACTTGGCCGCCACGTACGCCAGCGGGTATCCCGTGGCCTTGCTGGCGAGCGCCGAGCTCCTGGACAGACGAGCGTTCACCTCGATGATGTAGTACTGTCGCGGTGGGAGGCAGACGTCGGCAGGTGCGGAAGGAGAGGCGGAAATGACAGGAAGTTGGAAATAAGCAGTTATCGTGCCCGACGCGGAAGTGAAAAGTCACGAGCTCAATCTTCTATCGGAGGGTTGACTCTGCACCATCATCAATAAGGGGGTGGGGAATCTACATTGTAGGCAGGCGACAGCAGTTGTGCTATGGGTATGGAGAGAATGGCATTAGCAATTGGAATGTGGATTATCCATTGCTGGCCTGGGCTATCAACAGGAATGAGCGTCACACCGTTGATCGGTCGAGCAGGAAGTTTTGATAATTGGTGGGAAGTTGTAGTTATTAAGCAGTAGGTTTCAGCACTTACACCAAAAACAAGTACTTGCTCACATACTCTCAATAATTCATTCAATCACTCAGCCATCCATCCACATACTCGCATACCGACTACTCGCCGACTCGCCCATCCACTCACTCTTATTAACCTATTCACAGATTACTCACCCAATCTCCCACTAATTCACTCACTCACATACATAAATACACCTCGCTCACTCATTATCACCCAACCACTCCAACACTCACACAACCACCCACCCACACACTCACCTGCCCACCCGCCCGCTCAATTACCCAGTTACCCACCCATACACTCACCCACTCATCCGCCCACACCCACCTGCTCGGACTCAGGGTTGAGCGCGTACTGAATGTTGCACTCCCCCACGACGCCCAGGTGGCGGATGACCTTGATGGCGGTGGTGCGCAGCATGTTGTACTCGCGGTTGTTGAGTGTCTGGCTTGGGGCGACGACGATGGACTCGCCCGTGTGGATGCCCAGGGGGTCCACGTTCTCCATGTTGCACACCTTCATGGGTAAAGAACGCGCTCACGCAAAAAGTCAGGGGTGGCATTAGGGTCGGGCAATCGAAAGTGTGGCCCTATTTGGCCCGCAGTACGGAACAGGTTTTCCCTGCCTCTGGGTCAAAGGAAGGAAGAGGAGCCGGGGGGATGTGGTCCGAAAGAGAGCGATCGACAATCAAACCAACGGCGCAGGAGAGACAAGGCCAGGGACGACTTCCGGACAACTACGTGGTGAGGGTGGGAGTCCGGACGTGAAATTTAGCAGTGGGTGGGATGCGAGAGGGGAGCGCTGGGACCAAGTGACGCAAGGAGGAGGAAGGTGGACACACCGTGATGCAGTTGTTGTAGGCGTCGCGAACGACCTCATACTCCACCTCCTTCCAGCCCTTGAGAGACTTATCCACCAGCACCTAAGGACGACGACCGACAGCCACAGCCACGTTTACTAAGTCGAGTGAGTGAGGGGGGAAAACTTTTAAAATGTGTCCTTGTTTTAAAAGCAAGATATAACCCTGAATGACACAATACACAGAGCCTAGATGTGTAGCATGTTGATGGCGTGTTAGTGGAATTTTGGTAGCATGTTGATGGCGAGTTGGTGGCACACTGGGGTGTCATGCTTGTGGTGTGTTCGCGACATTCTAATGGCAGGTCTGCAACACATTCGTAGCAGGTTCTTGGTAAGTGACATGTGGGTGGGCTATGGGTGGCATGTTCATGGCGTGTTGGTGACAAGTCCGTGGCACGTTGGCATGCGATAAGTCCGCCGGGTCACGTTGGACGATGTAGTAAGGCAGCCCCCCCCTCCCCCGTACCCCATGCCCCCCTATCCCCCCCAACACCCCACCGTCCCCCAAAACCCTCCGCACCTGTGTGGTGTGCGCGAACGCCTGCGTCACCAGCGCCGACAGCTCCTCGGGCCCATCGGCGAATCCCGAGCCCAGGCCGCCGAGCGCGAAGGCGGCGCGCACGAGCACCGGGTAGCCCAGCTTGTTGGCCGCCGCAAGCGCCTGCCGGGGGAGACACGCGCCCAGCGTCAGCAAAGGGGGGTCTTGGGCATACGGCCGTGCTTTAAAAAAATATATAATTTGTATTCAACTGAACGCGAGCCTGGTACACAAAGCACCGATCACAGAACAAAGAAGGGGGGGGGGGGCATAAATCCCACAAGCAAATCCGAGAACGATGCAGCAGGGCTTGTGGTGAAGAGGTGGATTGGGCTCACTGCTCCACCCAGGTGAGGAGCCTCTAGCAGAAAAGTTAAAGTTTATATGGGTGGGGGGGGGAAGGTAAGGGAGAAGATAACGAACATAAAAATGGAGGATGGGAAAGAGGAGGGGGAAGGGAAGGGAGAAAAAGGGAAAGCATTCTGCCGCGCCTTAAATATACAAGACGTGCTGTCGCGGTGGATTGTGGGTAATAAATAATAACTAATAAGCATATAATATGGTTAAATCACCCGCAATACACCCGATCTCGTCACATCTTGGAAGCTATGCGCAGCATAGCCTGCATAGTGCTTGGATGGGCGACCACTGTGCGTAGGAGGTGTTATAGGCAACGGGGCTACGTGGTGGGCAGTGCAGTAAAAATCCGACGTTTTACTGTCGTTCTACGCTCCCATGTCCACTGCTTCCGGCCTTCGCAAACCTGCACTGACCAGCGTGAAGTATGGTCTAATTACCCACAACAATGGTGTGGGGAGGTTTCCATCCAGCAATGGATTGAATAAAGGTCTGTACATGTGCTACTGATATCATGTCATGAGTGGAATGTTCTAGTCCAGCGGTGGCCAACTGGCGTCTCCCAAGCTGCATGCGGCTCTTTAATCCACCACGTGGCTCTATGCAAGGGGATAACGTAGAACATACTATCACAGAAGCAAAGAATAATGTGTCCCATGCTGCCAATATATATATACACCTGGCTCTTGGCAGAACAAGGGTGCTTTTTGGCTATTGGTCTGTTCCAGGTTGGCCCACCCCTGCTCTATTCGGACCTTCCACTGCGAGTGGTGCACTTTCCCCAACAGTCCATACGGCTACACGGTTGGGGATCCTTGTCTTCGCGAGTGCGCAAGTGTGCCCACGTGGGTGTGTGTGTGCGCGCGTGCGCCCACTCCCCCACCTGCTCAATCGAGCAGGCGGCCACGCTGGGCGCCACGTGCTCTCCGATCTCCTCCATCTTCTCGACGAAGCCCTTGCGGTCCTCGGTCATCTCGATGGAGGCGACGGGCGTGCCGAGGACGCGCACGCCATAGCGCTCCAGCACGCCCAGCTTTGACAGCTCCACGCCGCAGTTGAGCCCCGTCTGACCCCCGAAGCTCAGCAGGATGCCGTCCGGTCGCTCGTTCTGGATCACCTGGAGGGGTGAGGCAGGGAGACACACAGGTGGGAAAGGTGGTTGTGGAACGAACGCAGCAACGAGCAGCGGGGAGAGAAGGCTGGGGAGTGAAAGTTGGAGGGGAGGTTGGGGTAAATGTCATGAAGGTGGCTGAGGAGAGGTCGTGGAGAGAAGGCCGGGGAGAGAAGATCTGGAGAAGTTGGAGATACATCTCATCAATGGGAACTAAAATTGGGCTGATGGCAATCATACCACTATTTATTTAATCACAAGTTGCTTGTTTTCATAATCATCATGCGTCAGAACAATTCTAACTTGAGAACCAAAAGTTTTGGTTGCAAGTCATTTGTCAATGTCCATGCCGCAGGTCACATCAAGTAGTAAACGGCGATTAAAAACTTCAACGCACAAAGGATTCCACGTGCGGCGGCGGGCGCCACTAACCTGCGTGACGTACTCGGCCGTGATGGGCAGGAAGTAAACCTTGTCGGCGAGACCCATCGACGTCTGCACGGTGGCGATGTTGGGGTTGATGAGAACCGTTTGAATGTTCTCCTCTTTCAGGGCCTTGATGGCCTGCATGGGCACGGACACAACCCGGGGGGGGGGGGCGAGAGACAGAGGGGGGGGGCAGTGGTGGTGGTGTCACCGGGATGGCAGCCACAATTATGACCACAAACACAACTACGACGGCAACCGCAATTGTGACCATACTGGTTCAGCGACTAGTATGACGTGCTCACCCTGTCTGTGTCGGTGCTCGCCCACATATAGCCTTTGCTCACCGTAATTCCTCATCCTCAAGGCTCTAGCAAGATCTGTAGTCGAGTTCTAAAATCGTGTAGAGTCCTCTACCATAGAAGAGACTGTAAACGAGAGGGTGCGCTCACCAGTGTAGATTCCTCACCACAGGGAGTTCTCACCTGTGAGCCGGAGTAGTCAAACTCCCCGGCCTGGCCGATGGACAGGCCTCCCGACCCAAGCACCAGCACCTTGGCCGGGCGGCCACCCTGCACCCCGCACCCGGTGGGGGTCCCGCTCCACGACAGGTGCTTCGTTAGCCGCTGCTTGACTGTGAACGGGGAAATGAAACGCGATTAGACACCGGTTTAAAAAATGAGCCTCGTTAAATCCAATTACGGTAAATTGGGCCCCGCAGTGGTGAACTCGCTGCGCTATGAAGCTAGCCACCCGAGTTCCAATGCTGGCCATGGCGGACGTCAGTGGCGAGTGATATCCGAATCGGTTTTGGCCCCCCCTCCCCAAGAATCAAATTCAGGTTAGCTGCATGTGAACCCATTATATACAACGTATACAAATCAAAAACGTAATAAAACTGTGATTGATGAACATCGATTTGACGCACGTATCGCGAGCATCGTCAAAACCTCTGTTACGCTATGAATGACAGCTGTTTTGTTTTTAAAAAGCAGGACTCACTGGGCGTGACCTGCAGGTCCATGCCGGCCTTGTGGTCCCGTGCAGCCTGCAGAAAGACGTCAAAGAGGTCTTCGAGGTCTTGAGGCCCTGCCATGTGCTCCGGGTGGAACTGCACGCTGGGGACGTGTACACGGGGGGGGGGGGACATCGTGAAGCACCAAGACCGCCTCTGCGACTGCCACGGCCAAAGCAGCCATTACCATTGCTTACCGTGTTGCCACCACTACCCCCCAGCACTGCTAGCGCCTAATCCGGCAATAGCTGGCACCGCAAATCACTACTGCCAGCACCATTAATACTTCTACGAACAGCAGTGACATCACAACCACTACTACAGCAACACCAACATTGGAACCTCCACCAGCACCACTGATATTTTTACCAGCAAGTGACAAATGCATTTTCTATAGCCTGGCTTTTCGTTTTTTACATATATATAAAAAAATTGTTAGCATTATCTGCGTTTTTTAATTCAAATCCGGGCCAACCCTCCCCCCCTCCCATTTACTCTGGATAATCGCGAGCCGACCGTATCAGCCCCCTGGCCTTCCGCTCGCTCTGCTCACAGACACGGTACACGTCGCATGCGACGCATGTTGCGAACAGGCACCGGGGCCGCGGTGGCACCTGAAAAATGGCAGCGAGTCGTGCACGATGCCTTCGTTGGAGGCGTCGTTGGCGTTGGTAAATAAAGGCGTCCACTCAGGCGGCAGCGACGCGACGTCCACCGCGAAGCCGTGGTTCTGCGACGTGATGAAGCAGCGGCCTGAAGCCTCATGCAGGCACGGCTGGTTGTGGCCGCGGTTGCCGTACCTGGCGTTGGTGGAAGGGCGCGAGGATGAACGCAACAACAACCGTCATTCACCAGGATGAACGCAAGCACACCGACACACCAGATACGTGCACACACATACAAAGACCTCCCCCCCCTCATAGCCTTTAAGAGACGGTTCAGGTAAGTGCAGTCAGCGAGCACCTATGAAGGCTGGCACGGCACATGATGGACACATACACACAAAGACTAATGCACACACATAACATACACGGGTACAAACAACACACACCACACAGACAGGCGCTCAAGACACCCACACACCTCTCAAATAATTCAGCACCAACGGCAGCGGCAGCAACTACGTGCTCGAACCGGCACTCACTTCATCTTGTGAGTGGTCGCTCCAGCCGCCAGCGCCAGCAGCTGGTGGCCCAGGCAGATGCCGAAGATGGGCGGTGCCCCAGTTTTGCGCGCCAGCACGCCCTTGAGCACCTCCACCGTGGCGGTGCATTGCGTCGGGTCACCAGGGCCGTTGCTGATAAACAGCCCATCGAACTCTACGGGGCAGCAGAGTCGGCGTTAGCGGCATCGGCAACAGCGGCATCAGCGGCATCAGCGGTTTTGTCAGCAAGAGCATGAGTAGCAACTGTAGCAGCATCAACAGCACCGGCAACATTATTATCAGCATCAGCACATTGGCAGCAGCGAGAGCACCAGCAGCATCAGAAACATCATTAACAGCAGCAACAAAAGCACCAGCAGAGAAGCACCAGCAGCATCGTCATCATGAGCAGCAGCAGCACCAACAGCAGCAGAATCAGCATGGACATCAGCGACAGTAAAAGCAGCAGCGGCAGAAATGTAATTACAGTACAAGCAGCAACAAGACAAAAGGGGTAACGTTTGCGGCATGGGTTTTGCTCTATGACAAAACGACGGTGGTGGTGTCATCCCCGCGGTGGTGCACACCCTCTCTCGCGGCTCTCTCACCGGCCGAGGAAAGCGGCGAGTCCCATGGCACAAGCTGCACGCTGGCACCGCGATCACACAGGCACCGCAGCTGGTTGTACTTGAGGCCGCAGTCGATGACCAGAATGCGAACGTCCCCACCGGGGTTCAGCAGCCGCGGCTCCTGCGGTGAGCAAGTGATTGAACGATTGACTAAGGGAGCAGGTGAGCGGACAATTGAGCAAGATAAGTGGGCGATTGTGTTAGCAAGTGGACAAGTGAGCGGGCGCAGAATTTATTAGCAAGTCGGGCACCTTTATGGACACCTCGGCAACGAGGTTGCGCAGATTGGGGTCCTGCAGCGGCACTGCCGTTTCGTCGGCTCCGTCCAGTACGATGCGCCCCAGCAGCGACCCCTTCTCACGAATCAGCTTGGTCAGCGCCCGCGTGTCGATGCCTGGTCGCAGGCAAGGCAAGAGGGGGTCAAAGGCAAGAGGTTATTAAGGGGTTAAAGCCGTGCGGAGCCAGTGTTTGAAACATCGCCGACTCCAATGTTACGGTCTGGCGCTCCGTCGTGACATTACTGTGAAATCACTCCCATACGTTTACACGCAGCTTTATCACTATGCCAAAAATAGCGTCTAATTAATATTGCATTTCAATAACTATTTACAAATAGGGGGGTGGGGGAGGAAACTAAGAAGAGCAACATTGCAGCACATTCCCCCAGGATGAAGCAACTGGCGCACAGCACCAACAATGAGCCCCCCAGGGCATCCACAGGGGGCTGTGGCGCGGGGAACCCCTTAACCAGCACACAGCTACAAGATAAGAGCTTTGCGATGTTTCTGGTTCTTATCTCATTTACCTTCGAGTGCGGGGATGTTGTGCTCGCAGAGCCAGTCGTGGAGCGACCGCGTGGAGCTCCAATGGCTGTGCTCGCGCGAATACTCGCCTACAACGAGGGCTGCCGCGTGAATACGCGACGACTCGAACCACTGCCAAGAGTGGACATGAGGGTGGGGGGGGGGGCGTCGGGGGGGACATTTCAGAGAGGGGAGAGAGCATTTATCGTTACGTAACGTGCTTCAATGCAACGTGGATTCTGAACGAGATCGCTTCTCGGTGGCCTTTAGTCGCCAGAAAAAGCCTCACCGAGATTCAAGACACTTTTTCAGGAGGGTCTTGCTACACTGGGATGTTTGACCGATTTTGTTACCGAGTGCATGGTTTCGTGTGGGAGGAAACTCGAGGAGCTGGTGACAACCCATCGCGAATACGAGGAGGGTAACACTAAAAACTCCAAACAAATTGATTAAATCCTGGCAACCGAATTGGCCAAGCCAACAACATCTGGTACAGGCGGTCCCCACTTTTATGACGCAATGCATTCACGGAAACCTCATCATAAATCAGACCCTATTTTGCAATAGACAGTATAAACAGGAGAAACATCACTTGCCGATGTGTTTTAACCTTCATCAGCCATATTTAACAAGGTTTATTTAAAAGGTAAAAATCCACATAAACACTTTAGAATAACAAAAGCTCCACGCCAAGTCACATAGGAAACCAGACTGACTCTTTTCAAATGTATTTCGAGTCATGTCAAAAGATGCGTTGTAAAATCAAGTTTCTGCATCTTAAATCGATTCATGGTGGCATTATATAAATGTCGTAAAAGTGGATCGTTGCAAATCGGACTGTCGTAAGCCAGAGACCGCCAGGTATTCTCAAGACAGACAGGACAAATTATACAAACAAACAAAAAGTCAATCCTGAAAACTGTATTGTTTTCAAATCACGACATTTCACTGAACTATGGGTGGCGGGGTGGGTAAGTCGATACACTTACAATGCTCTGGCTGTTTGTGAAAAAAATAACAACGTAATGGATGGAAAACGCTGGAGTTGGTTAATGTACTAAAGAAAAACAACACACCAAAACTTTACAATGTACATGAGGTACAGAGCTCACATATCTTAACATTGGCTTCTCTCCAGGGCTTCAGCCAATGAGCATTCTGCCTGGGACATGAACTGTGAAGGAATCTGGCCAACAGTGGCAGACAGATAAGGCTCACCGAGTCATTTCTAACAACAGGCTCCCACAGAGCCAAGTGTTATGTAGGAGCTTAAACATTCGTGCTCATCAGTTAGCCATGGCCCATCTACAGATTGCCAAGGGGAGACCAGTTCTATTTGGGTTTAAAATGTTTTAAAGGGCTCATCAGTCAGCTGCGCTCAAATACAGGCTGCCACGTAGAACCCAGTGTTTTACGGGACTTCACAATCATTGGGACTCATCAGTGAGGCAGCAGCCCACAGCGTCACCTTGCTCAGGCCGAAGTTGCTGTCGCCATCGGCAGGCACGCCGTAGTTGCCGATGTGCGGATAGGTGAGCACCAGGATCTGGGAGCAGTAGGACGGGTCTGTGAGTGCCTCTGGGTAGCCCACCATGCCCGTCTGGAACACTTGTGTATACACAGACACACACGCACAAAGACAATGATTATCCGTGTAGCCTTTAACTACGCACACGCATCAATACTCTCTCACACGCACGTGCATGAATGCACAATTGTATGCACAAAGATCAAAGATACTCCAGTATAGCCTTTAACAGACTGCTGAGGCCAGGGCTGTTAGCGAGTACCTGTTAAAGAAGGTTCAACCCTTTAGCAGGGGTGGTGTGTCCAGCACTATGCCCGGCTATTTGTCTACCTAGTGCTGATGTGCATCACACACAATGCCAGGTAAGGCTGAGTTGACTTAGGCGAGCCGTAAAACCAGTTCATATATGGATTGGCACATGCAGTTGTGGCCAAGCATCGAACTCGGGTCGCCAGGTTCGTAATGTGATGCTGTAACCGCTGCATTACAGCTTCCCCAACACACACACAGACTCCGGGTTGTCAAGTTGTAACGAGTTTATGGCCTCAACCCATTTACCAAAAATTGCACACAAAAACACATCTTCTTAAATGAGGCTTTTCACTTCGTTCAATCGTACAGTGGTAATTTCCAGTTATATTTCTCAAAGAAGGTAGTGGACTGCTTGCTGCAACAGCTCTGAATGGAAATGTCTTCTTATCAAGACATTAAGCCAATAATTAGAAGCAAATTTAAGCTCGATCATTTTTTCAAGGTGACAAAGTACAGATGTGTGAAAAATGCCAAAATGAAGGTGGCTGGGCACAAGTGGTCATTCATTACAGGTTCAACAATTTACACACTCACAAATTGTATGAAACCGTCACACATCAGGGCAGTTCCTTCCCTGATGTGGACTTCCAGCTCTGCTAACCGTTGAAAGTTCTGCATTGCATTGCTTAACTTGGCGGTCAAGAGCTCATCAGAGCCAATGCTTCCTTCTCTTGGAATCCGCAGATGCTGCCAAGTCAAGTCTCATCAGCACCATCATCATATATCTGCCTTTATGTTTTGTCCTTGATCGCCAATGTCTCTCTGTAACCTGCCCTCTCCCCTCTTTGCACACGTGACCAACCCATTGCAACCTTGGAAAAAAGGACTGAACATTTCCTGCCATGAAACTCCCAGGGTCATCCACATGAATCTGCTTTCAAAGGCCAGAAACGACTTTTCCAGTTTTGTTCAATTCCAGGTCTCTGACTCGTACAGCAACACAAACATCACTCCTGTCTTGAACACAAATCTCTTAACACCACAGTTGACCTTTCTATCGCTTTCCAAAGTGGCTTATGAAGTCCATCGAAAACCCACCCCCTTAACACATGTATTGACCTCCATCTCACAATCCCCTTTGTTATGCACATTGCCAATTAAACACACAAATGCGCGTACCGCTGCCACATCATCAATTCCCAGGGAGCCACGTGATAAGGGGGCGCGGGACCCATCCCTCACCAAGGCCATCAGCTCCATGGCGAGGGAAGCTCACGTTGAAACCCCAGTGTCCAGCCTCGGTGGCCCAACACTGCCAAGAGATGCAATGCTCCTCCATTTCAAGGGCCTAGATAGCAACGTCATTTTAAGTTGCAATCTGCACCGTTAAGGGAACTGGACTCTTTAATAGGCTTCATAATAAGTTTTTTTGGTTAGATCGCGTAAATATAAACGCGTCGTTAAACCCACCACCCGACAACCAATTAGTAAGGTTTGAAACGTAAACAAAACGTGTCAATCCGTTACTAGTTCAGCACTTCGGTGTGTTGGCGAGTACGACGTTTCTCCGGTAATTACGACCAGCCTCATCAGGCGACAGCCAGAGTTGTGGAGGTATCCTCCTGTTTTGGTCTTAAATAGAGGTTAATGTTGGCTGCTCACAGTTAGGTTCAACACAACATTTATATTTACGCGATCTAACCCAAAAAACCCTCTATTATGGATATTGGTCTGGAAAGCCGACATGTTAAACTTTAACATGCTTCTTAAATAATCAACAGCCAAGGATCCACTTTGTTGCTGAAACAAAAGATTGAACAATGTTTCCAGAAGCATTTGTTTAACCAGGCAAACTCCGTAGTTGTATCCATATAATGCGTGCCAATTTTCTCTGTTCTGCGAAAGATTTGTTGTATTTGTCGTAATTTACACCACATTGTGGTTACTTTTCAGTGATAAGTTTATTTTTTACTTATTGCTATCGCAACTTAAAATGTTTCCATTTTTTTATTTGTCTTGAATTATTACCATTGGAATAATTCCACACAATATTAACATAATTTGATTAAGCTGCTTTTGATTAAACTGCTTTTGTTTGTACAAATGTATACAATCTGACATTGTACGATGTTTTCCTGTTTTATATTTTACCCCAGTCTCTGCCAAAATGGGTCACAAGGTCACCTATTATCCCTGCTTACCCAACTATCTATCTACCTACCCACAGACTTTGCATACCTGTCCACCCACCTACCTACCTACCCCCTTACTCACCCATTTACCTATCTACCCACTCACATATTTTATCCACTTACCCACCTACCTAACTGGACACTACTCATAGTTGGTGGGCAGGTGGTTGGTAAGGTGTCTCCTTCTGCTCAAAACGTTACTGGTTGAACTGCAAGTTCGTTTAATCGCTCTGCAACTACCCTAGAATACACTGCCGTGAGTCACAGAGTTGTGGTGGTGTCACACACACCTGTGACGAGTCACCCCATGAAAAGATTTTGAAAGCAGGGCAGCCAGGCGGGAGGGGTCATCCCTAATGCCTTCGGCAACAAATCTTGCAATGCCTCGCTCTCTCGAGTGGCCCATCCCTCTTCTGTTTGCGAGGAGACCTGATGGCTCTTCGGGACATACTGTCTACAGGAAACCCACCCACACAGATTCCTACTTGAAACCTGATTCCCACCACCACCCGACGCAAAATAATTCTCTCATCAAAACGTTATACCACAGGGCTCATTGCATTTCGGACCAACACCACCTGATCAGTGAATTAAAACATGTGCATCTGGCCCTCAAAAGGAATGGATACTCTGACCGTACCATCCGCCAAGCTGTTTCTCCCTCCATACAGAAACAAACACTTGATACTCCGATCAAAACCATCACACTGCCATATATAGCAGGTGTTACTAAAAAGATCTCCAAAATTCTAAACAAAATCCGTGACCTGATCCCTTCCGTGAAGGATGTCATTCCTGACTTACAGTACCCCGGAGTTTACAGATTGATCTGCACCTGTGGTGACTGCTATATCGGGGAAACGAAACGACATGTCTCTGACCGAATTCGCGAGCACAAATCAGATTTGAAACACGGCAGAACGAATTCTTCTGCCGTAGCTGATCACTGTTACAACGCTGTGGGTGATCACGATATAATTTTCTCCGATACCAAGGTTCTTTGCAAACCCACGGATTTTTATCAGAGATTTGTTCACGAGGCAATTCAGATTTACAAACACAGACACAATTTCAACCGAGAAGATGGTTTCAAATTAAGCAACCATTGGAAAGATGTTCTAAATCGAACCAAACATTAAACTAATTTTCAATGGTACAGTATATTCTTTCAAGTAGTGGTGTCCCAAACTTTCGCAGCTGCTTAAATTCCCTTTTCACACCATCAATATGTAAACTCCCCCTCCCCCCCTCACCGGTCTGCACATGTTCACCCCCTATACACCGTTCATCATGCTAATTCCGCCAATTAAATGCTATTTTTTATGCTAATTCCTTTGTCAAGGCACCTTAATTCCTCTCACACAAGCTTAAAGGTCGCGGTCTGAGCTTGGCTGTGTTCACTCCAGCGCTGTCCTCGAGATAGTCTGGTCCCTTCACCTGATGAAGGCCACTTGTGTTGTGGCCGAAACGTCGTGAATTTTTTTATTTTTTGGTGTTTTATACTTTTACTTGACTTTATGAAATAGAACCAAAGAGTATGGATCCTTGCAGTCACGAAAGCTTCAAATCTAGAACCTCTCCATCCTGTTTGCCAACCGGTAAGTTGGCAGAGGCGGAAAGTGATCTTTTTTTTGCCAGTTACTTCCACATTTCAAAACCGTCTATATGTTTGCGATTGTGCAGACATGAATAAGAGCAACATCATCACAGCAGTTGACAGAATATATAGCTGCTGCTGATGGCGTTTAATAGGCTAGGATTCTAGCAGGTATGCAGCGTGTGCCACAAAGCAGTTTGTCTCCCATTTTTTTAATCAGCTTTACATTGTGCACTTGCAAATAGCTATTTGGTAAAAGCTATTAGCTCCACATTTCCACTCGGTCAAATGCCTTTCATAGACGAGGCATAATGGTAATTGCCAGCTGGCGATGGCTTGAAGAGGCCTTCATCCAGTGGTGGATAGACAATGGCTGATCGTGATGACAAGCTCGAGCAGATCGATTTTTCTGGTGGCACAACCATTTCCTGTCCAGACTACATATTTACAATGACGGGTGTTGTAAAAAGGGTAAACTACTGACAAGAGGAAAGTATAAAGAAAATTAGTTTTTCACCAATCTCGAATCATTTCTTTATCGTAACCACCATGGCACATGCGGCTTTTTCTACAGGGCAGTTTGTTTTTATCTTAAAAGCAAAACATACTAAATGGTCCAAAAATGTTAAATTCAGGAAATTATGATCATATTAATCGCCTAACAGCAACCCTACCGCTAGCTAACCAATCCCATCCACCTGCAAATCTGTACCATCCTACCACATTTACTTGTTCGGGCTCTATGTACCGACTGACACAATTTAATCTTTCCAAAACGCTCAATAATGAGCTTTATCCAAGAGTCACGCGCACTCTTTGTCATTAAAATAATGAGTTTCTATCACAAATCCTCAACCCATCACTTCCCGTTTATGAAGACCCAAACCCCGTAAGCCATAATCTTTCTAAAGGTCAATTGTCCAAAAATCTATATTCACTATTCTTCTTATCAAGTCAAAAGCAAAATTATCCCCCAGCTCGGATGAACATTGGGGTAGCACTAATCTCCATCGAGCGGAAATTCCACATTCCAATATCAGAGGCCAGTAGGTTTCGGACTTTATTTAACAATTCAAAAGAAATGATGGGTTGTGTTGATCCCCCCCCCCCCATCGAGATTTGGAGTTAAAGAAGGCTAACTGTAATTATCTTGAGTGACAAAGAAGCGTGCCATTTCTTTGTCTTTAGGTAACCTTTGGTGTTCTTCATCTACATATGTAGGGAACATTGTATTTGATCGACTACGACTTCCTTACTGAGCGATTGTCTTGTTAATATCTCAAAATGCCTTCGTTGTGGCGTGTCGAGTTGTAGCACGTGCTGGGTAGCTGTTTTCAGAACGTGAGATTCACGTACAGCAAAATCGTAAGGACATCACTGGAGGCTACACTGCTAGCGCAACAGCAAAAACCTACCCATTTAAACCGTCACCTACCAACTTACACATGCAGTAAGTAACAAAGCCATTCTGTGCAAAAAGTTGCAGGCAGGCTGACCAAACTACATCTAGGCGTTGTGCGTGCAAAAAGCACAAACCTTAAATAATCTCGAAAAACAGCTAAACAATATGCAAGTAACACCTATTGCGGAATTAGTTACGGGCCAAACAAGTCCTCGGAGTTTTCAAATTCTCGCCAGTTCAATTCCTGGCCACGAGAAAACTCGCAACTGAAGTATGTAGGGGTCAAACAATCCCCAAAGGGCTGTGTGGAAATTACCGTGCGAGGAATCTGGGCAAAGTAAAGTTCACAATCTGTGGCGATCAGAGAAGTACTGGCATGCAGACAACTGGACGAGAAAATTCACGGTAAAGTATTACACTTTGAACCAATGTTGTCCATTTGTTGTTCCATAAATGTCATCAGAAATGTTCCAACAACGGAACCGGAGACAATTATTAACGAGGAAATGGAATTAAAGAAAAATGAGCCAGGGTGCACACAAATATTTAAAGTAAATAGGAAAACAGATTCCTTTGTTCCGACTCAAAACACTCTCGCTGCGAGCACTCACTGGTGAAACGCACAAGGTCTCAGGCGAAAACACGTGGGTACTCTCGCAAGCAGCATTTCAGTGTTAACGCATGTGCACACACGACAAAAGACACCCCCCCCCACCCTCCCCGTATAGAATGAACAGCCGGTTGGGACAAGTGCTGTTTGCGAGCACCTATTAAGTGCCAGCACAGCGGACGAGGGAGTCGGTGGCCAGCACCAAAGCCGGCAGCCTTTGACTCCCCAGCGGCGATCTTTACGACACACCGCATCAGCAGGCACTCATTTGAGGCCGAGTGGACCCAGGGGTGGCCCAGAACCGGTTTCAGATAATCGTCACTGGTGTTGGCCGTGAGCGGGACTCGAACTCGGGTTCGTAGCGCAGTGGTGGTGGGTGTCGGTGTGGTCAGAACCGCCTTTGTCTACTACCGATGCTAATTAATTCAGAAGGTTCCCAGTTCAGGCCGCGTCGACCTAGCGGGGACCCAAGCCAGGTTCGGATGCCGCGCGTGCCACGGTCACCCGCGGGCAGGATATCGGACCGTCGTCAGTGGAACTTACGTTGAAAAACCCATTGTATCGATCCACTGCTGGATGAAAATGGACTCATGGTTGCGTGGGGTGGTGAGGGTTGCTTGTCCATACTTCACCACGCTCGTCAATGCGGGCGGGTGGTGCCACCCCTCATATGGCACTTTACGCAAGTAACACAACAAATACGCGGCGTTCAATTACCGTCGTCAATTCAATTGGAGGGGGGGTGGAGTGTGTGGGAAAAGATAAAAAAAACATTCACCCACCGACTTCTCCCGCCACACTCCTGGAGGCCCCGAAGAGCTTCCCCGGCATGGCAGTGCCATCCTCCAGGTACAGCGTGGCCATGGCTCCCACTCCTCCTCACTCTCGCAACAGACCACCGCCTTTTCCCTGCGCCTCTTTGCCTCTTGCAATGCTGCCCACTGGCTCCTACACACACACAATGCTGCCCACTGGCTCCTACACACACACTATGCTACCCACTGGCTCCTACACACACAATGCTGCCCACCGGCTCCTACACACACAATGCTGCCCACCGGCTCCTACACACACTATGCTGCCCACCGGCTCCTACACACACTATGCTGCCCACCGGCTCCTACACACACTATGCTGCCCACTGGCTCCTACACACACAATGCTGCCCACTGGCTCCTACACACACACTATGCTGCCCACCGGCTCCTACACACACAATGCTGCCCACCGGCTCCTACACACACTATGCTGCCCACTGGCTCCTACACACACAATGCTGCCCACTGGCTCCTACACACACTATAACGCTCCCCTTTAGCCCCGACCTGCCCCCATTGCTTCGCCTTGCTCGCTACGATCTCCTCACCGGCCTTGCCCCCTCTCTCTCTCTCTGTGCCCCTGCAAGTAGAATGCAGCGGTGGTTGCCTCTCGATCTCTCTCTCTCTCTCCACGTGGGTTGTCCTCCGCCTGCTTGATTATCGGCACGTTAGAGAGCTAACGAAACTCGTGTCTCTCAGAATTTATCTCCTTTTTAAACTATTACAAAATACACTCTGGGCGCCCTGAGATTTTGAAAGCCTCGCATAAAGTACGAGAATAAAAGTTCGGTATTTCGTGTAGAATATTAAAACAGAGCCGAGCGCTGCGCCACCCACTTCGCAAGCACCCCGGCTCAGCCGTTGTGCGCGAATGAATCGCTGTTTGTAAAGCGCAGTGCAGATAAGCGCGGCGTGACGTAACCGCGATGATGGGCGTTTATAATCCGTAGGGCGGATAAGGCGGCGTGACGTCGCGCTTCGCGAGGGCCCCGCCCCCATGCGCCCCGCCCACCCACGGAGTTTAAGATTTCGCAGTGCGGATAAGAGGGCGGTGGCACCGCCGCCTTTGGAAGTTGACGGCCCCACGTGTTTTGGGTACGTGTATAATTCATAGTGTTGATAAGCGCCTTGCGATATAACTTTTCTCCGGATTTAAAAATAAGACGCTGGAAGATAAAAAAAAATCCTGAATTATATCGCTTACTAGTGGGAAGTACCCGGCGTTGCGCGGGGGGAAAATATATTTCAAAACTTGTTATAAAAACATACAATACACATATACAAGTGTAGTGGGTTCACGGGACACGGAGACGGTGGAGTAGAAGCAGTACTGTTTAACTTAACAAAGGTTACACTGGAAGGGGTAACAGCCCCTTCACCCGTATACACGCTGGGACACCCCCTAGGCTATCTAGCCTAATTCCTGTGCTCCCAGTTCCTCCAGCTACAGGCGCTAGAGGAGGCTATCTGATCTGGCCCTGGTCAAGCACAGATCACGGCACCCCACCAACCAGACCGACCCTTAAATGGGCTCCGGCTCTGAGGCTCTGGGGCCACACGACTGGCTTACCCTGCCGGCCCTCAAAAGGACAGCGGTCAGGAAAGTCCCAGGGTCTATCTAGCCGGTCTTCCTTCTTCACTGGTTCTTCATTCTTGGCCCCAACACACTGCCCCGAGCTCTCTGGCTCCCCACCCTTCATACCCATACACTACTGAGGGCGGGGCTATAGCGGACGTGGTTGTAGCCACCATGTTGTGATTGTGTGTTACCTTCCCACACTGTGTGTTTCCTTCCCACAACACCCCTACGGGTGTGACTGTGTGTTACCTTCCCACAACACCCCTACATCACCCCCTCCTGTACAGCCAACAGCCGTCCCGGCTGCAACAATATTGAACAATAAACAACGCAACAAAACCCCAACCGTGTGTGCCTCATGACAACCAAATGCCCCAATTAATAACCCAACCCACCTATACAAACATACACTATATACAGGATATATATCCCCCCCCCCCCGCATTCAACCGGAGTCACCCGTCAGCGCAGCAAAAGGAGACGTAACAGGTGAGTAGAACAGTGTGAACAGAACAAGTGCAACCAGAAGGCAACATTACAAAAACCGGCGCGTTTTGGCACGAGTCCGTTTTGCGGGGCCATCGTAGGGTGGGAAACCGGTCGGGCCGGCGGTGGGCGCTGTCCGATCGGGTGCGCAACCCTCCGACATCCCGGGAGGACAATCCCCGTCCCCGCCGGGTGGCGCAGGCGGCTGGGAGGCCGTCATTCTCGAGGCACCTGAAGGCGGAACAGTTAATGACATATCAGGGGCAGGCGGTGAAGTCGCCGTCCGGGAGTCAGCGGACACATCACATGCTCGGCCTGTGTAATGTGGTGGAGGGATGCGCGGTGCCACAAATGGCTTCAGGCGCGAGGGGTGTACATACCAGTGACGTTTCCCCCACTGGATACGAATACACTGTGGCCGTATGACCTGCACAATTTCCACAGGACCCCTCCATGGCCGCAACAATTTTGCCGAGGTTGCCAACGGTACTTGAGGGCAGTGCAGCCCGGCTCTGTCACCCGGTCTCCACGCATGTGTGCGTGACTGGCGCGATCGCAACCTCTCGTTAGCCTTCTGTCGGGAATTAGAGTTTTGGGCGGCTGCCTCTCGCGCCTCGGTCAACCTCAGGATATAAAATTTGACATGGTCAGCCAATTTCGATTTTTCGTTTGGTTTGGAAACCCGCAGCTGAGTCTCAATAGGTGGATCAACATCGCGACCGTACATCAGAAAGAACGGCGAGAATCCGGTCGCCGCGTGAGGAGCCATTCTGTAGGCAGCCAAAACCCCCGAGATCTGAAGGTCCCAATCGGTCTGGGAGTCACACACTTGGTGACACAACATGGACATGAGGGTCCTATGAAGACATTCCACCATTCCATCCGTTTGTGGGTGATAGGGGGAAGTACGGATTTTTTTAGTACCGAGGAGTGCACACACCTCGTGCAGAAGGATGCCAGAGAAGTTCTTCCCTTGGTCAGTCAGCAGCCGTTCGGGAGCACCTTTGTCGAGGACATAGCCCTGGACAATGGCCTCGGCGATGGCTGCTGCTGACTGGTTGGCAACCAGCAGGTACTTATTACCCCTAGGGGTCGCAGGGAAGGGCCCCAATATATCGAGTGCGACAAGTTCATTAACTCGAGAGACCGTAATAGATTGTATCGGCGGAGAGGCGCCCCTCGCTGGTGGTTTCCGTTGGGCGCACTGAGTACATGCACCCAGGAGGTCATCCACATCCCTTGCCATGCCCCGCCAGAAGAAATCCAGCTGGAGCATGGCAAGGGTCTTGTTGGTCCCTAGGTGCAAAAGTCGCTCGTAAGCAGCCCACACGGCCTTACCCCGCAGAGCAGAAGGCACCGCCAGCCTGTGTCGGCGGGCCCTCCCATCCCAATGCATAAGGAGCCCCTGGTGCAGCCCGAACGAATAAACCTCCGTCACCCCCTCATGGAACTCCCTGCGCGACGGCGCGACGCGAGGAGGGACGCGTCCTCCATCTGGAGGTGCCCCCATTCCGTAACAGTCAATCCCAGCAAGGAGTCCTCTCCCCCCTGCTCGATAGGACCCGCAGACAAAGGGTCCTCGGTGGCGGCAGCAAGAATCGGAACATTTAAAGCAGAGCTGTCATCTGGCGGCGTACAACGCCCCGATCCCATGAGACAAGCGCAATCTGAAGCGGGTGGCAGGCGAGACAGCGCGTCCGCATTAGTGTGTCGAACACCCTTCCGATATTTGGTTGTGAAATCATAGTCCTGAAGGACCTCGAGCCATCGAGACAATTGCCCCGAAGGCTGTTCCACCCGCAAGGCATATTGCAATGCCGCGTGGTCTGTACGGACGGCGAAGTGCCGGCCGTACAGATATGGCCGATATTGTTGTATAAAAAATACAATGGCTAACAGCTCCCGACGGGTGACGCAGTATCTCTGCTCCCCCGGAGACAAGACCCTACTGCCCTAAGCCACAACGCGCTCCACATCACCAACAACCTGTGAGAGCACACCCCCAATACCCGTATTACTGGCGTCCGTATCGAGCAGGAAGGGTTCGGAAAAATCGGGGTAGCTCAATGGTGGGGCCCCCACGAGAGCGTCGCGAAGGGAACGGAAAGCGATCTCCTCGACCTGGCCCGAGTGAAATTTCACTCCCTTTGCCGTCAGGGCATGTAAAGGTTTAGCAATGGTCGCGAAGTCCGCAACGAACCGCCGGTAATAAGATGCGAACCCAATGAAACTCCTCAACTCAGCCACCGAGGTGGGGGTCGGCCAGGAGCTGACACACTGCGTTTTTGCGGGATCGGTGGATATGCCCGATCGGCTGACAATGTGCCCTAAATACCGCACGGATTCTTGGAGCAAGTGGCACTTCTGTGGTTCGAATTTAAAATTTGCAGCGCGCATTTTGAGGAACACAGCGCGCCCTCAAAAGGTGTTTGTCAAACGTTTTGCTAAATACAATTACATCGTCCAGATAGATCAGACAAACGTCCCATTGTAAGCCAGCTAAAACCAGTTCCATAAGGTGCTGAAATGTCGCCAGAGCGGAGTGTAATCCCATAGGCAACCGGTTAAATTGAAATAGGCCGTGTGGTGTACGGAATGCAGTCTTTGGTCTGGACTCGTCATCCAATGGAAGTTGCCAGAATCCTGACAACAAGTCCAATGTAGAGAAAAATTGTGCCCCTGCTAGAGCATCCAGAGATTCGTCCATTCAAGGGAGCGGATATACATCGGCCACCGAGATTTTATTTAGGCGACGAAAATCCACATAAAATCTCATGGACCCATCGTGCTTTTTCACACGTACTATGGGCGCCTCCCACGGACTGGTGGAAGGAGATATAATTTCTGCAGCCAACATGTCATCCACAGCCGTCTTAACATGATACGTTTCGGCAGGGCTCAACCGAAAAGGATTCTGACGTACCGGGGCATTTGCACCCGTGTCGATATGGTGACGCAGCAAATTTGTACACCCAATATCATATTTGTGCTTGCTAAAGACGTCAGCGAATTCAATCAAAAGGTTCCGTAATCCAGCACGTTGGGAGTCGCATAGATCGTTCGTTCCTGAACACAGTGCGTCCATCCAACTATCGTCCTCAATGGAACATGGCCGAGTTGGAAGGTCGGTCCCCACATGTCCCATAACAGTTTCTGCTACGGGTACCAGCGTCGCGTGTGCAAGCACGGTCCCCTAAGGAACCACAGCCGTCTGCACCCCGACATTAAGGACCATGATGAACGAGTCATCGCTCCCCTTCACAATCGTTTGAGCGGCCACCAAATCCAGCCCGTTTTTCCCAGCCTTTGAGGGCCCTAACAGAACGCCATGGTCCGAAACACCCGGCGCGAAAGGTCGACGCAACCGAAGAGGTACGAGCATTTGCGCACCCGGTGGCACACGCACAGTACGAGTGACGAATGCCTGTATCGTCGCGCAGGCCGTCCTTGAGGTGATGGGGGAAGGCAGGAACGTTATACGTCGGCCCAAAGGGAGCTCAATGCATCCCTGGTCAATCAATATTTTAATCGGCATTTTGGCCAAAAAGTCTGTCCCCAACAAGCACGGAACCGCCATCGAGGATGAGACTAATATTGGCCCAGATAATTTGATATCCCCAATGCAAATTTGTGTTCGGATTTGGCCTATAATACCCAACGAACCCCAGTTTGCTGCGTAACACGGAACGTCGACTGGCAGCAAGGGGTGGCTCTGAACGGGGAGGATATTATAGATCAAATCCGACACAATCGTTGCCGATGCCCCCGTATCGACAAGGCCACGCACCTCAACCCCATCGATATGACCCGCAACAACGGACGAACCCGCCGACGCAGCAACAACTCGG